TTGTAATGACTTTACAGGCAGCCAGGGTTGAACCACCAGGGGGAATCTTAAGAGGTCCAGGACCCATCCATTTTATGTGTCCAACATTATCATTCAGTTGGCCGGAGGGGTGTTTCTGTTTAAAGGTCTTTGGTGTGCTGACGGCAACTCGCCATGACTGAGCCAATCCCTGGCAATCAGGGTCATCTGCAGTCTTGGGCTGATGATGAAAACGACAGGCATTCGTTCCCATGATTACTGGAGCCTGATCTGGACCCTTAGGGTCGGGGCAGACCAGGGCTAACACTGTCGTGGGTTCCCTGTGAAAACCATCCTCCAAGAACTCAACATTCATAGCTATATAGCCCTTGTACGGATAGCAGGATTCACTGAGTCCCCAAAGGGCCAAGCTGGAAATGGGATGGAGAGGTAAGTGAGACAAATGGTCTGTGTACCAGCTTTCAAATATTATGGTAACACTAGAACCACTGTCCATCAGGGCATTGGTTGGTTGACCCTCAATGATTACTTTACTGATGGAGGCCTCTCCTACTAGTCCCTTAGGGATGTCTGTAGCATGTTGGGCATCTACTGCATTCCTTTTGACCGAGCAGTTAGTCCTTGAAGTCTCTTTTTCCTGTTTGTTTGTGTCATTATTTTTTCTTCTTAGAGAACGAATCAGTTTCTGAATGACTTTGCCCTTATCTTCGGGGGCTGTACAATGAGTAGACACATGTCCTCCTTCCCCACATCTATAACAGAAGAAATCCTCTTCGTCCTGGTTGACGTGAGTTGTTCTTTGGCTACTAAAGCGAGGAGGAGCTTTAGTCACTTTATTAGCTTTGTTGTCTGGCCTCCATCTTGCATTTTTAGTCTGAGGAGGATTTGTGTGGGTCACAGTCATCATATTGAGGTGATGTTGCACATCCTCAACTTGTTTTCTTAGAGTTTGCACTTCATCATTTTCTCTGGGTTTCTTTTCATCTGTGTGGAATACTTTTTGAACTTTCGAAGTGGCTTTTAACTGACCAGTTGTGAGTTCAGACACTTGGGACTGCAGCATTTTGACTTTAGCCTCCAGCTCCTGAACTTCAGATTCTGACTTAATTTCATCTTCCACCCTCACCTGCCTGACCACTGGTCTAGCTGAGGGAGCAACAGTTTTCTTCCTCGCTGATTGTTGAAATTCTTCTTCTCTGATTTCATTCAACAGTGTCAGGAAAGGAGGAGGATTATGCTTTCTCTCTTTTAGCCGTAACTGTAGTAGCAGTATTTCAGACTCTGTGGCTCCACGAAGGAGCTGGTCCACACGAACACTATCTCTCAGATTGGGAGTTATCCCTCCTCGTTGAACAACTTTGGTTAACTTTTGCTCCACTCTCCGTAAAAAATCTGAGAGTCTTTCACCTTCACTTTGGCGTAAGGCTCTGAAGGAGAAGTAGAGATCCTCTGGACTCTCTGGTGATCCAAACGCTCTTTCTAGAGCTTCAATATATTCCTCTGGGGATGCATCTGGATCATTAGCTCTCACGGCTTGTGCAATTTCCAGAGCAGGGCCTCTCAAGCTTTCCACAATCCTTTTCCGTTTCTCTCGAATTGAACATTCACTCTCATCCACCATTAACTGTGCTTGCTCCATCCATGTATCCAAACTCTCTTCTCCTGGAGGAGTGGGACTTATGCCAGAATATGCACGGAGACGCCTGAAGACATTACTTTCTTGAGCAGGCCTCATTGTCTTTGCTAGCAGATCACCAACTGCTCTTATGATTGACTCTGCGGAGTTTCCTGGCATAGGATCTGATGACAGCATTTCTGGTGTAGCTGCTTCTTCAGCGGAGGTGGAACTATCTTGTGAGAGAGGATCAGATTGTCTCTTTTCCGTGTTGACATTTTCTTCATCTGTCGGCCCATGCAATGTCCACAGTTCACCTCCTTCAATAGATGGCACATCCAGAGGTATAGTTTTTGTGTTTACTCTTTCACTACACTCACATAAAACCATCAATGACTGTAATTGAGGGTTAAACATTCGTCCTCTGACCCTAACTCGTCCTAGGGCTTTGATAGTCATCAAAGTTTCCTCAATGTGCTCAACTGTGGTCTGGATGGGCACCTGCTTCACTACAATTGCACGGGATGCATCTAAGCCCTCCCCTGTACACCAGTTTTCTAACAATGACATTCTGTAGTTAATGATTAACTCACTTATTTCTGCTTTGGAAAGTCCTAATTAATTCTGACTTTTTCCCCGTTTGTTTATTCCAACTAATTGTTCAGCTTAACCAAGATAGCAATGTGGGTCAGACACTAACGTCAAAAACGGATTAACTAAATAAACCTTGGGGTCTAGCTTTCACTATGAGAATCTATCCCAGCGGTGCCTCCATTTATGTAGCGCTTTCTGGTATCTAGGCTAGATTTAGCGCTCTGGGTTCTAATTATTTAATGTTACACCCCATGAAACGGGTTTCACTACATTTCCCATGAAACCCCAGGTACTGTTTTGTCATTCAACTTAGTTTAACTGCCTATGTCTGACCCATAAATGATGAGACTTTATTCAGGTAAAGTATTTATTTACCAAACTTCAGAACAAAAATAAAGTAAACCACATGTGAAAATATACCCTCACACTGAATATGGTCACCAGCAGACCTTATGTCTGGCAAAGGGAATATAATTCAAACAACACCTTTTGGTGATTGTTAACCATCAAATAACTAAAAATATCAAAACAAATAACAACCACCTGGTTTATAAATAGGGACTTTCCCTTCCTTTTAAATGTTCGCGTAGTCCCAAACTACCTTATGTTGAACAGTCCCGAACACATTAGAGTCCTTTAGTTTGAACACCAAAAACATAAAACAATTGACAGTCTTTAATGAGTGGGCCCACCAAAAATAAAACAAATTAAAGCCGGCAAAATAGTCTATAAACCCCCGTTGCAGGCCTGATACTGAAGACACTCACTCTTGGTCCTCAATTCACGGTGACGGGTGTACATAGTTCCTGACGGCTCATCTCACCAGACCTCCGTCTGTTAATCCGCGCCTTTTGGGTAGAGGCGGAGGAAACCGCAGCCAACTCCAACACAGCAGGCCCGACGCAGGTGTAGTGGGTCTCGACAGCTCCGATGCAGACCTCCGCATCCAGCTCACCGCTCGCTTCTTCCTTGGTCCGTCAGCTGTCCCTTGGTGCTAGTCCACAGCCAAGTTGGGGCACTTTGTAGCCGGTATTCCACCGAAACGGCTCACAAAAGTTCCAGCTAACTCCACCGAGAACCCGCGTCGTCTCTCCCCTTCTCTTGTTCTGCTCTCCTCTCCCGCGGTACTCTCTTTTGTCCCGCCCCCCAGTCAATCAGAACTCAGGAAAAGTGCAATCACCCAATAGTAACTGACCTTAGGCAGAACAACAAAACACACAGCATTCTAGTGTGTCACACCTCGTGTTGAGCTGTACTTTACATACAAACTATACAATAATTGTTCGTTCTTAAAGTAACAGAACACAATATTTTAATACTTTTTACTTCAACTGTTTTTTCTTTTTAATGAACTCTTGCTCATTTCAAACTCCTACTAAAAGACTTTGACATTGTTATATCTTACTTTAAGATATTAAGTTTGTTATTTTTCAAAACAACAATATTTCTGGGAACCCAGGGGGTTACACAAGCACAAACAAATCCAAAAGCAAATGAATAAATAAAAAGTTCAGTCAGAAACATATTAAAGTGCAAGCACATATCCATTGTCTTAATGGCGTTTCTATTTTTTGAATATCGGAGATATCTAATATATTGTTTGAATTCCTCTTTAAAGGCTGAAAAGCAAAGTTTCTGATTTGAGAATTTAGACTCATAATTTTGATATTTGTTGGTCTAGACCTGGCAGAGTCAGAACAGAAGTTACAGAAGATTTCAAAAGCATTAAATCACCAGACGGGATGGTCTTAAATTCCTTAGGTTTTATGGGGAGACCAAACTTTTCTAGAAGTTCAGAATGTGTTGTGGATCTGGAGGTCTGGAGGTGCACCTTCAGTTTTCTCCTCCAGGGGGCGTCGTGAAGTTGAGGAGGGCGTGATGGTTGCTCCTCCTGCACACCTGTGGCCACTTACTTCATCGGGAGGAGTACTTCTGGAGGATCACGCTGACACTCCAGTGCCAGAGTGTTTGCTCGCCTATGGTAGAACCTGTGCTAAGCTAACCTCAGACCAACCAGATCGTTTCCTAACGTTTTCCTGTCATTCGTCTTCAGGTCCTGTCTCCGTGTGCTCCTGGCAGTCTGTTCCACCTGGATTCCTTGTTGGCCAGGAGATCCATCGAGACCGTGTGGCTTGATCCTCCGTGTGACTCCTGAACCCAGTCTCACCTGTCCGCCCTCCTACGACCCCGCTGCCAGTCCTTTTCCCGACAACCTCCGCTCCACAACATACCTGCTTCCTTATTACTCCACTCTTTGCACCAGCAAGTAGGATCAAGACCACAGATAATTACTCCTCTCCTCACCCTGTACTCACCTCCATGTTCCTTTCCAGGAGAACCTCCCCTTGATCCAGTTCCCGTTTCCCTCCTGAGTGTCCACTTTGGGATCTCTACTGTTATTTCAGTCACATTTTGTTATTGTAATAAGTTTCACTGTAATAAATTTCATCTGTCTCCCGAGTGTGTTCTGCACATGTGGGTTTCCCGAGCTAAACAAATCATGACAGAATGAGACATTAAGACACCATCGGGACTAAAGAGCTGTTGAACCAACATGATTCAATGTTCAAACCAATTTTCCAAGAATAAAGGTTTATGTTTGTACAGAATGTCTCCATCGTTCCAAATATGATATCGAAGGGGCGAAAAATTGTGCTTCTAAATAAGAGAGCAGGAAAGATGCATTTGTTTGTGGAAATTAGAAGAGTGCTGCGTTCATGGACCGGCCAACGGTCGGACTCAATGTTATTCTCCACTGATTGATACGCACTTTGTGATTGCATAGTAAACTCCTCTTTTTCTACAGGAAATTGGCGTCATACCTTTGCACAATGCAGGCGGTAAAGTGTGTGCTGCTGGGGGACGGGTAAGTCAATGTAACGTTTTCTTCCAAATTAAACTATATTACCTTATATTTTGCCTACATCAGTGGGAACAAAAGTAAGTGTAAGAGTTTGGGTTAATGTAGAATCACCAGGTGGCTGAAGGTCCAACAAGCCAGCAGGGTTTGTTGTCAGGATACTAGAGATGACACTCTGTACTTTTGAGTAACTGGAGCTGTTTGGTTCCCTTTTTTTATTTTATTGAGCGCTAAAAACTGTAAATGGCTTAAGAACATATATTTGCCATCAGTTCCATCTCATTTAAATGTTGTAGAAGACTCCCAGAAATTCCCAGCATCACTGCACTGGAGATGCTGCTAAAGATTTAGAAGCCTAAGAGACGTTGGCTGTTTACTCTGAACACAGTTACAGGAACTGAAAATATCTTAGCCTGCTCCAGCAAGCCTCTGGTCCAATGTGACATATAGTGACACAATTATTAGTATCAAAAAACTTTTATAAAAGTTGGATTTCAGGTGACATTATGTCCCTGTACAAGTGAATTTGATTTACAGGGATGTCTCAACAATAGTAAGTAGGTGTGTTTTAATGTATCTTTTTGGTGTAACAATAATGTATTTGGACCAAAAGTTATGAAAAACGCCATACCAGCTTGTTGTACATCATAGTACATATGGAATAACCAAGGCTCTCCAACAGTGGTACAGTACTGGCATTCCTCTGGTTATCTCAAGTGGAACTCCACTGCAATTTTGGTGTCAGTAAATGGAAATCTCATAACTGGGACTCAAACAAAAGAAAGTGCTGCATTAAAGCAACCTGAGTTGAACTGAAGTGGACGAAAGTGACCCAAGAACAAGAGCTAGTGGCAACGTATTTAAAAGATGGAACTGGGAGAAAGTGTCAAAGCTAACTCAGCCACGCTTAAACAAATGGTGGTGTGTGTTATTTCGTCCTGCATCAGCAAACATATTGATCAAAATCAATGATTCTGAATGATTAGCCGTCCCTGAAAATGTATCCCTCATTGATCCTCTCAGGGCCGTGGGTAAATCAGCCATGATCATCACCTACACCGCCGGCTTCCCTAAGGAGTGGACCCCGTCAGTGTGAGTCACACACAGCAAAACTTTAGGAGATCTTTTGGTCAGAGTAGCTGCCATGATATGACTGAAGATGAAACGACAGTCATCCGTTTTGAGAGTGAATGTTTCCACCTGCAGGATGGAGAATTATAAGGTCAGTGTGACGGTGGATGGGCACCAGGTGAGCCTGGATGTGTGGGACCACAGCGGATTATCGGACTATGACCGGTTAAGACGCCTGTCCTTCCCACAGACGGTGCGTTTTCCACAGAGACCCACAGCAGCTAGCCACTCTTAGCACAAACACCACTTCAAAATGGTGCTGCAGCAGACGTTGTGTTTTCTCAAGTGCCATCGTTAATATGATCAAAAGGCATCAAATATGTTGGTTTATGTCCCATTAGTTATGGTGGGTTTTCAGTACTGATTTAAAGGAACTCTACGCTCTGGTTGGTTTCGTTTCTGGAAGTTTGAAGCAGAGTTGCATTGTGGGGTTTTTTTGTGTTTGTTTGTTTTTCTGTGAAGGGTGTCAGAGTAACAGCAGCCTAACATTCATGTATGGGACGTTTTTTAGATTTTAAATGTGAGAAACTGAAGGTATCCATCATTTACCTGCACCTGCACAGTTTTACTCTACTGTGTGTTGATCTATCACAATGATCTGCAATGGAAACATAATTCATTTTATTTATATTTGCATGTCAAGACAAACAAATTCAATTCATGAATAAATATCGGCAGTTCAGTCAAACCATGCAGGAAGACTCGAAACGTTTTCCTAGTTTTGCACCCACAGCTGATTCCTTCGTACCTGTGGATCACTTGTGTTGTTGCCAACATCTGATGTGAATCAACCGTGTGGATATTTGTTTGTTGTCCATGGAATTTTGACTTTGGTTGTTTTTCCATCTTGTAGGATGTGCTCCTGCTTTGCTTTTCCGTCACCAGTCCATCGTCTTTTGAAAATGTGCGGAGCAAGGTGACTGTACTCACGAAGCCGTCCTTCACGCATAACATGATGAAGACATTGAGCCAGGGGTCTGCGACCTTCACAAACCATTTGGACCCTTCTGTCCAGCCAAACAGAACACATTCAGAGCTGCAAATCAAAAACCAAGTTTTGAAAAAACAACTTCCTTTTTTTTTTTTTTTTTTTAAATATTTACGATAGGGAATTTGTCATATATATAAGTACATATAAAATAAAACAACAAAAACCCCAATTTTATTTCTATTTTTTGATTTTGCAACAAGTGAAAATGTGAAAACCTCTTGCAAAGAAAGGATGGGTAGATTTTCTTTTACCAGATGTTGATATATTTAAGTAAAACAGACCAAAACAATATAACTGTTGCTTTCAGAGCTATTTTAAATCTTCATAATCATGACTTAGTTCTTTTATCATGTTTAGCTGAAGTTTTAAACAGCCGCTGAGGCTCCAGAGCTGCAAGTCGCACAACCCCTGGATTAAACCGAAGTACCCTACTAAAAATGTACAGTGTAGATAAAAACTCAAAGTGGTTTGGATGCAAATCATCTCCATGCTCCTGCTGCAGTGGACCGAAGAGGTCAGAGATCACTGCCCCGCGGTGCCAGTCATCCTGGTGGGCACCATGTTGGACCTCAGAGACGATAAAGACAGGATAGAAAAGCTGGAAAAGGAGAATCGCTGTCCCGTCACCTACGATCAGGGCCTGGCCATGGCTGAAGAAATAGGTAGGTATCTGAAACCTGGAGCTGTTGGTATGTTTAATTTAGTGCTGTGTGACACAAAAAAGGAAAAAATAACACAGAAAAAACATTAAACATGTCAAATTAACTTGTATTGTTTTTTTTTTTTTTTTTGCTTTCTGTGTCAGCTACACTGAACACAGTCTTGTTGCCATAGCAGCTGACAACAACTGAAAAACCATGTACCACACAAAGAACATTTTATGTTTGCAGGCTTGATGTTTATTTTGCGATTATTAATAATTGGTCTCTGTGGTAGATTAGCCACAGCTGCTATTAGCTAAATGAACACAGCGGTGTAATTTAAGAAGCTTCTCTACTGGTGATGTCATGGTGGTTGTGTGGTTTATTAGCTGAACACTGAACTGAGCAGCAAGTTTAGGTTGCTAAAGTCAAGCTGAAGAAAAAAAGAGCTGAAAAGTTTGGTTTTTTTTCCTCCAATCCCTTGCATCCGTTTCCTTAAACCTGTTGAATAATACTGAATCATTCTGCTTGTGTTCACCGTCTCCCCGTCTTCTTCTGAAACCAGGTGCGGTGACATACCTGGAGTGTTCGGCTCTGACTGAGCAGGGCCTGCAGGCAGTGATCCAGGAAGCCGCCAGGGTGGGCCTGGCCGCCAAACCCGTTAAAACACCGAAGCAAAGCTGCAGCCTGTCATGATGCATACGATGCCGTTTACATGTTCACGGTTTTAAAAACAGGCATGTTGTGGCTGAGGCCAGCAGAGTGGATGAATGAGACAATCACTGAAGTGAAGCAGAGAGAAATTTACACCACCTGTGCTTCATATTTACCAGATTCTTTTATTCTTTGCTATTCTACAGTTACTTTTTATGAAATGAAAGTGTAAAGCAATACTAGGCAGACAGAGTATTAGGGCTACATTGATTTTATATATATATAAAATAAAAATCAAATCAAGTTGTAGCATTACAAGAAAAAAGTCTGAATTTTGACTTTTTGTTATTGCATCACAAGAATAAAATCAAAGTATTACCGTAAAATTTTTAATATTATGAGATTACAGTCAATTTTATTTTTAAAAAAGAAAGCTCTTTCTGCGTTTAACACAGAATTTTTTTTTTTGCAGGATTATTTGTTTTCTTTTTGGATTTCATTTTGTGAAATGACAAAAAATTTGGGGTTTTTTTAATGAAATTTAATTAAAAGACAAAAACTGTTGTGCCACACTGTATTTTTATTTTGTCAGGGAAAACATGGCTTAGAAATATTTTAAAAGTGCTGACATTTTTGCCAGCTGTGCAGGGCCAAATTTGGACTGTCCCAGAGCCGAGGCCAGAGGCTGAAAGTGACCAGTGGGCAGCAGTTTGGTCAGTTCTGGTTCGTACTGAACTGAAACCTCTGACACACCGCCCTCTGCCTCTGTGAACAGAAAGATCCAGCTGAAACATCAGAAATCAAGAACAGGTCTCATGGTTTCTTTCGCTGTCCACTGTTCAAACACCAGCTGAGCAGACACTGCGTCCTCCACTCCCATTCCTGTTGGAAGAAAACCAAAAAGAAAACACATTAAGATTCATTAAAAACAACGATAGAGTGATGGAATCATATCATCCAACACACCCAGAGACTTGAAGACGGTTGTCTTCTCCCTTTCAGCAGGTTTGGTTCCGTTGATAACGTCTCCCAGTTCTGCAAACACCTCAGCCTGAAAGACACGCCCACACCGACTCTCATTCTGCTCACCTTCAGGTTTCCAACTGGATTAAAAATCTAATCTAAGGACAGACGGACCCCTGAAAGTATGACATCACCAGACTCTGACAGCGCCCCCTCCCTGCTGTCCGCGTACACCACAGCGCTCTGCATCAGCATGTCATCCAGCTCCCTCCAGTCTGGCCTGCAGGCTCCCACAGCTGCTCCACAAAGTCAGCACGACCATTAAAGGGCAAACATTTAATGGTACGAGGCTGTGATTATACTGGTTTCACTGAACCTCACCTGCCACGTGTGCTCCTGCTTTGACCCACTGACCGTACAGCACCGGCTCCGTGGATCTGGTCGCCGTCACTATGACGTCTGCTCCCCTCACCGCCTCCTCCGCCGAGCCGCATCCTCTCACGCCGCCTCCCGCTGAGCGGACGAACCTCTCGACGTTCTCCTGAGTCTGGCTCCAAACGCGAACCTGGGGAAGAAGAAAGACGAGCGTGCAGCGTCCTGCAGGGGACTCAGAGCGTTACGAACCAGAGATTTTTAGTTCTGGTTCAGCTGAATAAAAGTCACTGAGAGCTGCAAAGGTTACATAACCTCTTATGGAAAGACGTTAAAAAACCCATAGCTCCGTATGAACAGGATGGAGATGACAGTAAAAATCATTTTCTGTCCTACCATCACAAACATAAACAGCTGAACTTTAGTAGTGAAGCTGCTCAAATTCTCCAGGTGAGTTCAGCATTAAAAGCGGGACAATGACTCAACACGTACGACCCATAGATTTAAAGAAATGCTGTAAAACACACACACACACACACAAAATGCTTTCCTTTCTTCACCCATCTTATTGTCACCGCTGAACAAGTACCTCTTTAAAAGAAAACATCTCGGTGAAGACGTTAAAGTGACTCAGAGCCTGTGTGCCGGTCCCCAGAATGGCCAGAACCTCTGCTCCCGGCGCCATCAGCAGCTGCACACACACACACATGCACACACAGACCAAACAGGTCAGAGTTACTGGAGAGTCTCACTGCACAGAGAGGATGATGTGCGTTATGAGGTCAGCAGCAAAGATGCCTTAGCGGAGATGGCTGAGACGGCGGCGGTCCTCATGGCCGTGATGACCTCCCCATCCATCACCTGCAGACGGGACGTTCCAGCAGTGTTTACATGGTTCAAAATCTCTCTCTCACACACACACACACACACACACACACACACACACACACACAGAGAGAGCCTTTAAAAAGTACTCACAGACTTTATTGTACAATCAAAAGAATGTGTTCTGCTCAGATGAGACCAAAGTAGAACTTTTAAACAGAAAACTAGCACCTTGCATCATCCTGACACACCGTCCTCATAGTGAGGCATGGTGGTGGCAGCATCATGCCACTGTACAGCAGCATATAGAATCAGAAGTTCAGAACGAGCCAAACGACTGGACCTCTGTTGAATGAGGTCACTCATTTTGAATATGTATGAAAGCTTTTGTTCTGTTGCACATTTTTTATTTAATTGTCATAATTTCACTTTAACATCAAAAGGGGTTTTTGTCTTTTTTTTGTCTAAAAAGTTAAATCAATTTATAAAACTGGATAAAACATCCAAGGGGTTGAGTCCTTATTCAGGTTTTGAATACTGATGACTGCAACAATATTTTTGGTTCTACAAAGTATTACAGTATGCAGGGTGGACACAAATACACGCTGCACTTTTCAGATTTGTTGGGCCTTGTGGAAAGCCAAGGATCATTTCCCTGTAGTCATTAGAACAGGGGGACATTTCCAAGAAACTTCGAAATTTTGAAATTAACCTTTGAAATTTTCTACAGAAGACTAAACAAATTTCAGAGTTTGAAAAGTTGAACAATTTCTGCAATAAAATTTGGAGCACAATAGACATTTTCTGGAAAAAAAACAAAAACAAACCAAAACGTGTGAGTTTGAAAGCTTCCCCTCCCCCTCACAGCCCTGCAGCTTTGCTTTGCTTCACCTCATAAAAGTCATTAAAACACTGAGAACAATCTGCCAATCATTGCAGGCGTGTTCTGACTCACAGCCTTCACGTTCCCACGTTCCGGGTCCAGCAGAACCACGGTGGCCTGAACGGCTGGCAGAGTGGATCCTTCCTCTCTCTTGTAGAAACAGACTAACTTTGCGCTCAGCACTCCGTCGCCCTCCATGTATGCGGGCATGAGCCCCATGAAGCTGGAAGGACACGCAGATTGAGCCGCTGTTCCTGCAGCAGGCTGACAATGTGAGCCGAACCGAACCAAACCGAACCGAGGCGGCCGCAGCAGAGCGAGGCCTACCCGCGGTGCTTCTGCAGCGGCACCGCGGTGCGCACAGGCTGGAGCACCGCGGCGCCGTCCCGCCGGGAGAACTTCCCCAAGGCGTCCTGCAGACGGGGGACCAGGTCCCGGTACCGGAGCACACGTTCAATCTCCTGCTGCCAGATGATGACAGGAGGCCCGGCCATGGTCTCTGCTCAGCCAAGAGGGCAAAAGTTCAAACCTCCTCACTGGTCTGGAAGCTGTGCTGCGTTCAATGTGCTGGCGCTGTCGTAAACGACAGTTCGCTGTGATTTTTGCTTTGCGGAGCTTCCTGGTGGAGAATTGAGGCCTGAAACTGAGATGTTTAACACATAAACCCTCTGCAACTTTCAGACTGACAGGGAGAAAAAGCTTTATTTATCTGCCCACAAACAGAAAACCTGACCAAACACCAACAGAAACGATTAGATTTAAAATACTAATTAAAACGCAACCATGTCTAAGTTTATGTGTGGAATTTGAGAATAATTTTTACTAAATTATAATGGATAAATTCAAATAGCCTCATGAACTGATTATAAAACTGATCACTAGTTATCTCATTAAAGTTTATCGAACTTTTCCAAAATGATTTTAAGTTTTTTTTAAGCATCTACATTACTGCTTTAAGGCAAACTTTCTCCTTGTTTTTAACTGAATTAATTTTGTTGCATTCACTGTCAATTATTTGCTTAGGATTTAATAATGCACTCACTTTAACATTATTCGGTTTACAAAGATTCAAACCGACCTGAACACAGACGGTCACAGAGTGACTGTAAAACACAGTGGTGGCTCCGTCATGATGAGACAAAAAAAATTAAGCAGTCAAGAAGGTGGTAAAAACGTTAAAGGTCACGACACTTTCACTAAGTGAAAGGTTCAGTGTCAGATCACATCATAAAGCTGTGAAATTATTCATAAAATTCAAAATGAAAGGCTCGTTTTTTTGCGTTTGCTCTGGATAAGCGATGAAATTTCACTGTCTTTGTCCAATGATGACAAATTAAAAAAATATCTGAACAGGGAGATTCTTTCAATACATTTCCAAATGTAATCCAATTTCAACATTTAATGTGAAAGATGATTTGATTTTCACATTACATATTAATTTCAACTCATGTCATCATTAACAAGTGTAAAAGAAACATTCATAAACACTTTGTTTCTATTGCCTGTCTACAACAGAATGAGGGTCGCTGCAACTCTGAAATTTTGAGATTCGTCTCAGAAGAAAAAAATTCGGAGTTTCAAAACGTTTGACATTTTCCAACTTTGAAATTTCCAAGTTTTTTGCAGAAAAATTCTGAGATTAATCCAAAATCTTTTTGGAGTTTTTCAGCAAAAATATATTACATCTGCAATGGCCTTAATAGTCTGCCGTACTCACTAGCATGGGAAAGTACTTTTGATTTATGAAAGCAACATTTTTAGTTAGGCTGACATTTCAATTAAAAAATTTTTAAACAAGTTGTAAAAAATAAAATAAAATTTATTAAGATACAGATGATGGTCCTACAAATAAAAACAAAACAAAACAAAAAAATCATGCAATACGTTTAAAAAATGCCAAATGTTTAAATAATCCAACATAAGGACAGAGTGGATGGACCCATCAACCAGCAGAGCTGCTGTCAGATCACACCAGCAGTCTCTCGATGGCCATCTGAACCGACTGAATCTGGGGCTTGAGCTGGGAGCCCTCCTTTATGGTGACCGAGGTAGCAATGACGGGCCGGGACACGCCGCAGGCCCGGCCCAGCGCCTGTTTGGAGCGCACAAACACGTACGGCACGTTCTTGTCCTCGCACAGCAGCGGCAGGTGGAGGATGATCTCCAGCGGCTCGGCGTCGGCTGCCATGACGATGAACTCGGCGATGCCTCTGTTCAAGGTTTTAGTGGCTGAGGAAGAAGAAATAATAAGTTTATAATCAAATGAATGTACAGAATCCTACAAGAACAAACAGCAAGACATCCAAAAACAATATGCATGTTGAGAAATCCTCTCCCTCTCAGCTCCTTCAGACTTAGACCTTTAGCAAACTCCTGGTGGAACGGTCATCTCATTATGCAACCTACTTCTTAGTTTAACACTGATAAAAACATTAAAGGGTTAATAGGAGCCATGTTGTGATGGCTTCCTGAAGGCGGAGTTTCAGAAAGAGCTGGAGTTTTTAAAGAGAGAGACCCAATTTCAAGGAATTAAATCAGGAAGTAAAATCTCTTCCATGGTATGTATTGGTTTTCTTTAACAACTTAAGCTAAAGTTACTTCATTGTGCTATAAAATTGCATGGAATGTGTGCCTGAAAAACGCAATACTGCCCCTTGTAGCCAACTTGTTGGTGACTACCCATATTCTGAAAATCAATGAATTTGATAAGTGAATAAAATCTTTCCTGACCTGAAAACAAAAAACACTGTGCAGGTAAAAAGTCTTAACGGGTGGGCATTAATGTTGCATTTTGACTCCACATGACATGCTTTGTGGAACACTAACATTTTTGAAGCAGACTTATGCTACAATGTTCTCATGTACCGTTTTTGAATGGGGATCATTTCCATTTCTACAGAGTCTAAGGATTATTGAGAATCATTCAAATTACTCATGTGTATTTCAATTAAAAGAGCATAACATCAACCTAAGAATATCTACTAAAATTTTATAGATAAATACATTTTGAGATTAATACCTGATTTGGGGTAATTGCTCATATACAGCAAGGTTAGATCTTTTGTCACTCAGTCTATGTTGGCATCATTTGGATGTTTAACGGAAAGATGTTTTGACAAGTTTGTTTTACCAACATATCTATTGTCACCCTCGTCGTTTGAAGCGTTATTGATCTGACAGTATGTTCCGTATGAGACGGATCTGGTTGTGTCTCTCTCACCCTCATTGGCTCCCTTCCTCAGCTGTTTGTAGTTGGACGCTTGCTGCACCAGGTCCAGGATGGTTTTGGTCAGAGTAGCGTCGGCCAGCGGGTAGGCCTTCGGGTTCACTTGTGGTTCAGTCTGAGTAAAACACAAACAATAAATCCAGATAAGACACAAGAGACACGTGTCGAGTCGAAATACAACCCTCAGCTTCAACTTAAAATGCGCTCGTTGCCATTAAACATGCTTGCTAACAGTTAGCAGGTGAGTTAGCTTGTTAGCCGAACACAGAACTCACCATTGCAATATATGTCCAAGTTTTCCGGCCCTCTCGGCGAAGTGCTTCACGGAGGACTCCTTGTTTCTCTCTTAGCTCTGAGAAAGCAGAAAAAAAACCGCAGGATAAGTTTCTTTTACCTAATATTTAACAGCGTCTCTAACTCTGTAAGCTCTGCTGCATGCAGTCAGTCTGAACGTTCACCACACGTGCGAAAAGTACCAGGCATGCGCTCTGACTCGTTAGCTGAACGCTAGCGTTCATTCTGTCGTCATTAAAGGGCGGAGCTTCTTCTTCTTCTTTTCTGTTGTGGCAGCGCGCGAGTGTTGCCACATATGTATGGCAACACTACTTCTCATCAATTGAATTATTTGTATTACATAGTAATTCCTTAATCTTACGGAAGAGGATTAGGGCCACTGGAAAAAAAAAAAATGTCCGAAAAATTTTTTTTTCAGTGGTTCAGAATAGGTTAAAAAAGAAGAAAAAAAAAATTGTGGCCCAAAAAAAAAAAAAAAAAAAAAAAATTGTGGCCGAGAAAAAAAAAAATATCCGGGACAAAAAAAAAAAAAAAAAAAAGAATCTGTGTCAGAAAAAAAAAATCTGTGACAGAAAAAAAAAAAATATTGGTCCAGAAAAAAAAAAAAAAAAAAAAAAAATTTGTGACAAAAAAAAAAACAAAACTGTGGCCAGAAAAAAAAAAAAATCTGTGACAAAAAAAAATATTAAAAAATGTCACAATTCGGACTGATGGGCGCCAGCAGCAGCCACACAGACGCGAGTTGTGGCGGACAGCCAATGTTCTGGAGAAAATGTCTGATTTAAGTGACTTTTTACGTGCCAGAAGAGTACCAGAAGCGTCCATTGCACTAATGGAAGAACAAAAGGTGAGTAAATCAATGGGATAGTTCAGTGTCTAAAGCCGAACGGTTATAGCCAGCTGTTAGCATGTTTGTTTAGCATACGCGGTTAAAGGAATAAGCTGATTTACAATGTTAGATCACACGGATGAATATAGGATATAACAGCTGTTAATTGCTGGAATTGTCTCTAAAGTGTTTGGTATGTTTATTTTATTGTTGTTCTGTTTGAATGTTTTCAAGCCACCTTCTAAATAAGATGTCTGCTGTGTTAAACTGCAACTTTTAGTTCAGTAGAGGACAGAAACTATAGTACAAAGTGACAGACGTTTATACACTTCTTTTGGTGTAGTTTTAAAAATAAGTTTTATCTGTAAATTTTATCATACATCGGGGAATCATTTTATGTGCAGAATAAAATGTTTTGGAATTGCTATTTTGTTCTTGCTGCTTGGTTTTGATTAGGTCACTTTCTATAAATGCTGATTAATATATGCCTCATCTTTAGCAAAAGCTACAGTTACATTTTTAGTTTTAAACATTTATGGTTTGTTTTTATGCAGGATGACCTTGATGATGTTGTGAACACATGGAACTCACAAAATCCGGGCAAGTGGGTGCAGTATCGGGCCGACCTGTGGTGATGTACTCATTTCCAGTGCTGCACAAAACTGACAGACTCAAACCTGTTTCTCTGGATGAGGTCACTGTGTGTATGGAAGAGTGTACACCAAAAGGTCCATATCCCTGTGATGAAACAGTCTTTGAACTTTGTTGTCTGCTTATGGTAGAACGCAACTTGGAGGCCTCAAGAGATCCACTTATTGCTGCTGATTTGTATATAAGGTTAAGAGAAGAAATTCTTCAAAGTATTTAGCAACTTTCAGTGTGCATAAAGATCATTTAAAAAGTGTTGCTATTTATCTCCATCATGCCATTGGATAGTGTTTGCAATGTGATAGGTGCCCTCTAAACAGGGCTTCCTGCTCTACATCTAATTAAAGAATGAAAGTATGCAAGCAAACAGAACCTTTTGACATCATTTACCAGAACATGAAAGTTTATTGCTGTCATTATTTGTTTGTAGAGTTCTGATATGACCTGACATTAATGTACAAGCTGTTACTGTGCTGATAAAAATTAAAATTGCAGTTTGGTTGACAAGATTTCCTAACCCATAGTTTGTTTTGCTTTCAGTCATTTGAAGGAACAATGCTGATACAAAGTTATTCAATGATAATCAGTTATAAAATGTCAGTCCTTTTAACGGGTATGCATTGTGATTCATATATATTTTTTTTTGTTTAAAACAAAATGCTGTTCTGTTAAAGATATTGTAAGTATGGTTGAGATGTGAACAAAATGGCAGAAGAGCAAAAAGGATGTCATAAATTGAACACAAGGAAAACAATTGTCTGTGAAATAAAAATGAACTTCAATGTTTTGTTTACCAAGTCTTTTCATAATACAATTGATTACAGATATTTAGGAACAGCTGATAAAAAGTCATTTGTTTTTATCACTATCTGAAATTAGCTAAGACAGTGGTCAGACCGGAAAGTGAGTAATAAGAGAAAGGAAACTGCAACTAAGGTCATCAGGTCGTGTCTCGAACGTGTGATCCACGTTCAGGACTGAGGTCTCCATACATGACTTGTGCTTTTCCACCACAGCACCCCAACTGTTATTGTTTTAAATTTGTTAAAATTAGCAAAATTGTATTTGCTAAATTAAAAAAACAAGAATATTTTTTTTAGTTTTTATAACTATCTTCAAATTCAGCAATTTAAATACTTGGTTTTTAGACCTTTTCAAATAAAAGCCAAGCTTAGTTAACATGTTGAAAACCATAACAGAAAAGTATTGGGTAAAGTAACATTTTATTAGCAAAACATTACAAAAAACCATGGCCATTACAATGACCTAACTTTTAAAACAAACTTTCAGATTGATATAACCTTGTATACATCTGTAAGTTAGTATAAAATATATTAAAGCTTATATGGTATCAAAAATAACGTCATCTCAGATGCACAGATAGAACAAGTGCTAATTGATAAAATACACATACAAAAAATCTATGTTAACGAAATTTGTACAGGTGTCAGATCAATACCTAATTTTTGAACATGACAATATTGCATAATTTGTTCAAATAACCTCAGCTTTTCCATTGCATTGTTTTTTTTTTTGGTGTAGTTTTAAAAAACTACACCAAAATAAAATTAGGAACAAGTAGTTTTCTTCAAAACATACTGAAATAATCTCACAGCTTGATTGATGACAGATGAACAGCACATATGCTTAGTGACAACATTTATAAAATTAAGGAAAATGTTTTCTATAACTTTCAATTGTATTTTTGGATTCAACACCAAATACAAAAGACTGACACCTCAATGTCAATGTGCCAATGTCAAAATCTGTTTCAGGTCCCTTAGGAGATGCGCCATCAGGAAAAAAGTGTCTTTCCTTCTTGAAGAATGTCTTCTAATCCAGAATCAGTGGCCATTTTAATTTTTCTAGTGCCACCTCCCTGCTTTGCTCTCACCTGTTTGGTAGTTTTTCCATCACTATGTATCCATCCAATCTCAACATTTTTTGTTCCTTTTGGCTTCTTTTTCTGTCTTGTACTTTCATGTGTCATGGTCTCCTGTGTACTTTCATTTCTGTTCTTCATTTTGTCCAGAAGCTTTTGAAGAAGTCCTTGTTTTCTTTTTGACAATGGCTGTTTGCTTTGCAGTAGTTGAAAACAGCAATTCTGTCTCCATATGAAGATAAGTAGTTTTCAAGTGTTGCATCGTCCATGAGACCTACTGCATCACAGTCAATCTGCACAGAAAAAGATTAGAAAGGACAATTATTTACTCTGTAAATCAACATCAAAGTTACAGTTAAGATTGTACCCTTACGTTTCTGCTTAAAGCAATTTACTGTTTGGGGAGAATTACAATAATAGCAGCAGTAAATGTTAAATCCTCTATTTTACTGAAAAAGAGGAAGGACTGAATTGATTAGCATGCAAGTAAGTATAAAAACACAGATTCATAAATATATAGTCTACTTAAGATAACAGGTATCAAGCATAAAAACACACAAGAAAATATTAACAGTTCCTTTTTATTACAAAAATTAAATATCACATTAAGTTTGATTTAGTCAAATGAAGCCTATCGTTTCTGCACCTGAGCAATAAATGTGCAGATAGTTTAGTTCAGGGATTGACATGCAATATCAGTCTTGAGCTGACACATCACACGATGCAGCAAAATGATTTAGTTAAGCTCATAATGTCACTTTTTCCAACGTCGTAACACAAACTTAAAATAAACATAAATAAAATAGCAGATAGGCGCGTTAGTTGGTGTTGATAAATATAATGATCAGATCTACAACCAGCCGTATATCGGTGGCTATATGATATTTTCCTTTTAAATATATGCATATATAAACGTCTGTCACTTTGTACTATAGTTTCTGTCCTCTACTGAACTAAAAGTTGCAGTTTAACACAGCAGACATCTTATTTAGGTGGCTGACATATACAGCTAACCTTAGTTTAATTGTAAAACATTCAAACAGAACAACAATAAAATAAACATACCAAACACTTTAGAGACAATTCCAGCAATTAACAGCTGTTATATCCTATATTCATCCGTGTGATCTAACATTGTAAATCAGCTTATTCCTTTAACCGCGTATGCTAACAAACATGCTAACAGCTAGCCGTAACCGTTCGGCTTTAGACACTGAACTATCCCATTTGATTTACTCACCTTTTGTTCTTCCATTAGTGCAATGGACGCTTCTGGTACTCTTCTGGCACGTAAAAAGTCGCTTAAATCAGACATTTTCTCCAGAACATTGGCTGTCCGCCACAACTCGCGTCTGTGTGGCTGCTGCTGGCGCCCATCAGTCCGAATTCTGACTTTTTTTTCTGGCCCACAAATAGTTTTTTTTTTTTTTTTTTCTGTCACAGATTTTTTTTTTTTTTTTCTGGCCCACAATTTTTTTTTTTCTGTCACTGATTTTTTTTTTTTTTTTTTTTTTTTCTGGCCCACAATTTTTTTTTTCTGTCAGATTTTTTTTTTGCGGCACAATTTTTTTTTTTTTTTTTTTTCTGGGCCACAAAAATTTTTTTCTTCTTTTTTTAACCTTTTCTGAACCACTGAAAAAATTTTTCGGACATTTTTTTTTTTCCAGTGGCCCTAATCCTCTTCCGTATTAATCTACTTAATCCACTGTGTTTCCTTCAGTTCCTAATATTAATTTAAGACTTAATTTCTGTCCTGTATTTGTTACTTTTTCTCAATGTCTCCCTTTCAGCCTATGTTTTACAATTCGTCAATACACCTTCTACATTTTCTTTCTCTCCACATCCTTCACATGTATCATTATTTTCCCTCCCAACTAGATGTAAAATGTTAGACATGAAATGTAATTTAACTAACCTTAGCTTACAGGTTGGGGCTAAGAACTGTGGAAAATAACTGAGACAATATTAATATTACACACTATTAAGTAGTACAAGTTAATTTCATTGAAGAGTGACAAAAGTAGGGTGTAAAATATCATAAATAATATGTTTTGACCTATCATTTTGGAGTGAAAACATTATTTGCAGTCATTTTTGTAGAAGTTTCCGTGTTTTGTAGATTTTAAATCAGATGTTTATTTTTCAAACATTTCATGGATAGCTTAGCATAAAACAAATAATAGCGCAAATAAACTCTCGGCGTCTGAAAACACATTGACATATCTTGATTTTAGATTAAATGATAAATAATATTGTTTATACTCAATACGTGAAAATCAGTATCATAAGCGACACGTGATTCAAAGAGACAAAAGTCCAAACGAACACCACAGAAACATCTTGTTTGGAAACACAACTCACTACTCTCACGTCAACACGAGAGGGCGCGCGCTCCCCCTCACACTGCGTTTCTGCTTCGGGACTCGGGAACGAAGAACGCGCAGTTCATTCTGGGTAGGGCACTTTGAAAGGCGGCCATATTGGTTTTTCGTCCTGACTGAAGGAGAGAGATGAAGGGGATCCGAGCAATCAGTCAACTATCGGTGAGGGCTCACTTCATGGAGCGTATATTTCTGAATACTGGGGGAACAACGTTCACCCACTGGAGCTCTTTTGAGTTATTATGGAAATATAAAAACTGCTGGGGTCCTGTCGAGGAAGGCTGTGAAGAAGAGCAAGCTGCTAGCTTAAGTCTTTAACCTGGGAATGTTGTATCATAAACACATACATATCGAGTACATTTCAGCTTTCATTAATACGTTTAATTTCACTTCTCGCTTATAGAATAATTCTTTTTCTTTCGGAGCATAAATACAGCTAGCTCGTAGCTGCTGGCGCCTTGTATGTTGACTCGTTTCATATGTTGTGTTCGGAATTAGCTGTCTTTGATATTAAATCATTGAACTTTTTGCTCAACTTACTATCAGAATGGTTAATGTAAATGGCATTTAAAAGGACTTTGGTAACATTTAGTGCAAATTTACCTTCATTGTACTTCAGTTTCCCAAGTCTACATTTAGTTTACATTTTTGTGGCTGATTTTCCATCCTTTGGTTTTTGTAAATCTTCTACTAGGTTATTAGCTGACTGCAATATATTTCTGTAGTCTATATGCAATTCTGATAACATTCAATAATACACGCCAGACGTTTTGCAGAAAACGGGCATTAGTTATTTGTAATCAAAACAGAGGTGACTATTCAAGTTGTAATTAGGCCTGTTGCTGTCACAAGCCAAATTCAAGTGCATTGGTATTTTTAAAATGTTGAGTGTTTTGTTTATATATTCAGGGGTCTCAATCTCCAGTCCTGCAACTTTTAGACGATTCTCTACTGCACCACATCTGAATAGAATAATTAGGTCATTAAAGCTCTGGAGTTCTGATCTACACAAAGAGGAGGTAATTAAGCCTTTTCATCCCAGCGTTTTGTACCTGTGACACATCTAAAAACTGCAGGACAGTGGCCCCAGTACTGAAGATGAAAACCTAATTTAGCCGTCAAGCTACACCGTCATGTGCTTTGGTCTGTCATGTACTGCATACATGTATGCAGGACTCGGTCAACTATCATTAATCAGATGCATTAATCACAGATTTTTTGGGGGGATCGACTCATTTTTTTTCTTGTCTTCTTGCTGTTATATGTCACTTATTTTGTTCATTTTTATTTATGGTAACCTTTATTTAACCAGTTAGGTGATTGAGAACAAATTCTCATTTTCAACAACAACCTGTTCAGAAAATGTTTAAACTTCATACAACAGAGAGCAGAATGTCATGTTTTACATAAGTTAGAAGGAAATGCAAACAAAACAACAAACCATATTGGTAGTTATATACGACCAATATGTAGTGCAAAACTACATATTGATTCCCAATGTTTAACAATAATAAGTAGTTGGTCATTTCTAAACTAGTACGGGCTTCTCTTGATTCTTGATCTGATAAAACTAGCTGTTGGTTCTCCATGTTTGATTTTATCTAGAAAGTTTGTTCTAGATTTGTAATCCATCAGGAGTTTCTCTCGTTCGATGTTTAAAAGTTTAATGCTGAATGTTGATCTAAGGCTGTGTTCACACTGCAGCCTGAAGTGACCCAATTCAGATTTTTATTTAAATGTATTTACGTTATGCGACCTGTATCTGATATTTTCATGACAATCTGAACAACACAGGTCGGATTCTTTTGGAATGCGACCCAGGCCACCTGGGTATCCGATTCAAATGTGACCTGGACGTCACTGATACTGGACAAACGTCTTCTCCACAGTAGGAGTTCTCTGTGGTTCAATCTTCCGCCACAGAGACAAAAACACATTAGCTGTAATGTCCCGCCTTCCTATGTTCTCTTTTTTTCCAGAAGAGGCTTTACACAGCCCAGGCTGCCCCTATGGTGGAGGTGAATGGGTTTCAGCCTCAGGATGTGCAGGTCAGTAGGTGTTGACGTGTTTCTCTTCTCCACAGAGACGCTTCTATGCCGCGGCCAGAAAGGGCCAGTCCCTTACCGAGCCTCTGGTTGGTCTGAAGCTCTCTCCCGGGGCTGCCCACTCCTACCAGGACGTTCATGTATGTTGGGACGTCTCGATGCATTCTGTGCTCGGGCAGAATGAGTCTGGCAGTGGACTCCTCCTGCTGTGTCCTGCTTGCGTTTGAATCTGCAGAATTGTCCACCGAAGCATGCAGATCATTCTAGAAGCTGAAGCTCATAGGCAGACACGGTGGTGTGTCACAGAGCAAACAGCAACCCTGTCTCTCGCCCTGCTCAGGTAAGCAAGCTGCCCAGCGGACTGGTCATCACGTCTCTGGAGAACTACTCCCCAGCCTCCAAAATTGGGGTCTTCATCAAGGCCGGCTGTCGCTATGAAACCCCTGACAACCAAGGTGTCACCCACCTGCTCAGGCTGGCCTCCAACCTGGTAGGAAGCTACATTTATTACCAATGTTTTATTACGATTTTTTAATTTATGCTTTTTCAATTTCTCATAAAAATTAAAACCTAGACTTTTAATTTTAAACCTTATTGGGATAATTATCAAAAGTTTTCCATACATAAAATAGCAAAACCTTTCTTTATGTGGCTCTAATAGTGTAAATATTAAACTACAGCTAAAAGAAATTGAATTTCATGAAGTTGTCCAATGATTTATACACAAAGCGAAATAATATGTCAATGGCTTTTTCTTTTGTATTTTTGACGATTATATACAGAAAACACACAAATCAGTGTCTCAGAAAATGTTAGTTTTGTCAAAGAAGGTTGTCTGGAAGGAAAAAAGGTGCCAACATGGCTGCAAAAATATATCGCTTTGGCAGCGATATATTTGTGTGCATACACTTTCTTTTATTAGTGTGTTTAGTTGTATTTTATCACTTCTTAGTGATCCTTCAAAATACTGTAATTATTTTTAACGGTGAAATTTATTTTTTTTGAGGTGCTTCTTTGTTTTTAAAAACTTTTTAAGAAGTTTGTAAGTCCTGAGTGGTGCTGTATTAACAGAACTTTTACTGACATTATCATAGAATATTATGCTTATTTTCTTCTAGACAACCAAAGGAGCATCAGCGTTCAAAATCTGCCGCGGCATTGAGGCGGTGGGAGGCAGCCTGAGGTCAGTGACCCCTCCCCTGACAGGAAACCAACATGACCAGAGTCACTCAGCGCTCTTATCTCTGGATGTTTCTCTTGCAGCGTGAGTTCTTCCAGAGAGAACATGATGTACGTAGTGGACTGCATGAGAGACGACATGTAAGTGTTTCCATCTGGCACGTCCTTCAGAGGCCGGCCATGAAAGCTGCTCACGTTTTTCTGCCTCCACCTTGATTGTTCCATAGCGACACAGTGATGGAGTTTCTGATCAATGTGACAACGGCTCCCGAGTTCCGTCCCTGGGAGGTGTCTGACCTCACGCCCCGGGTCAAGCTGGACAAAGCACAGGCTGCACAGAACCCCCAGATAGGTGGGCATTGTGGTGTCATTACACTAGAGAGATATTGTCTCTGTGTAGAGTAGATGTGGAAATCCGTAAGAGTTGTCAGGTTTCTCCAGACTTTAAACCCAGTTTGTGTGTTTCTGCTCTGTCTGTCTCCTTGTCCAGCTGTGGTCGAAGCTCTCCATGCAGCAGCTTATAAGAACGCTCTGTGTAACTCCCTGTACTGTCCAGACCACATGGTTGACCACATCCATTCTGAACACGTGAGTCCGTTCCCGCTCTCTCACTGTCTGTTCTGAAGCGCCGACCCGAGGACGCCTTTTCCTCATTCACTTGTTTTCTGTTTCCTCAGCTTCACCAGTTTGTCCAAAACAATTTCACAAGTGCAAGAATGGCTCTTGTAGGACTTGGTAAGATCGTCATCGTTTAACCCAATGGTGTTGTAAAACCTGTTGGCTGCGTTTGTGGACACCTCTGGCAAAAATCATAAAACAGGAACATAAACTCACACCGAGAAATGTAGAAAGCTCCAAATTCTTTAGGGGGAAGAATCCCACATTGAGAAATATCATCTATCACTTTTGTTTTTCTTGTTCTATTTGTACTGAGCTTGATGAGGAGCCATCTTTAGCTTGCCAACACTTGATGAACAAGACAATTATTAGTGTCTGTCCTTTCATCACAAATATTAAGGTTTGCTAAAAGCTGCTACTTTGGAGGAAAAGATTTGAGTTTGAGCCACAGACATTGGCATGAAACAAGGAAAAGCATCTCATTCCCTCTAAGAATGATTCAACCTTCAATCACGGTGGAAGGAGTAAAAAAACAAATGAACGCACTATTTGTCTGAAATTGAGTGCCAAGGAAGTATTTATGGGGTTCATTTCCTGCCAGAATGTTGCAAACAGATGAAACATGTTTCACAAAGTGTCTCCTCTCACACACACACACACACACACACACAACACACCTTCTGCTCACAAACACACTGCAACACGTTTCTGAAAAAGTCATGACACTTATGACAGCAGGGGGCGCCACCAAGACAACTGAAACCTGTGGTTAGATGGAATAGGTTTTATAAAGTGTGTAGCTACAGGGCAGATAGCAGGTTTCAGTTGTCTCGACGGTGCCCTCTGCTGTTGAAAGTTGCTGCACATTGTTTTGTATGCTAGGACAGTTTGTGAATATTTTGTATTTGTTTGCAACATTTCAGATTCATTTCTTTTCAGGATTTATTTTCTTTTTATGCGTCTTTACCAGAGGTGCCAGCCTCTTCACAGCAGTTGTAGGTTGTGGTTTCCTCCCGTCCAGAGCTGTGACTGTGCTGTCGTCTGGTCTCTGGTCCTCCAGGTGTGGAGCACTCTGTGCTGAAGCAGGTGGGGGAGCAGTTCCTCAACATCCGCGGCGGAGCCGGAGCCACCGGGGCCAAGGCGCAGTACCGCGGAGGTGAGCTCAGCACCGCAACAGCAGGATGATCCATTTGGACCCCATGGGGGTTGTAGTTCCTGTACAGACCTGTAGCTGTGGTCCACAGGAGAGGTCCGTCTGTCCAGCCTGAGCAGTCAGGTCCACTCTGCCGTGGTGAGCCAGTCGGCTGCAGCCGGCACTGGGGAAGCCATGGCGTTCAGCGTGCTGCAGCACGTCCTGGGAGCCGGTCCGCACATCAAGAGGGGCTCAAGCAGCTCCGGCAGGCTGGTCCGGGTGGTCGCCAAGGCAACCACTGAACCCTTTGATGTGGGTGGCAGTCACTTTGTTAAACATAACATGAATCAACTCGACTGAAGGTCTTTATGTGCAGTTATTAAAGCAGATTTTTCTCTCGGCCCAGGTGAGCGCCTTCAATGCCAGCTACTCTGACTCCGGTCTGTTTGGAGTCTACACCATCTCCCAGGCTGCAGAGGCTGGTAATGTAAGTGTATCCAACAGAACAACATCTCTGAGTACTGGCGCCACACTAAGAAAACAGAATTTAACTACAAGAATAAAGACACAATGTAACCAGAAAAAAGTTGTAAACTTAAATTATTTAATGGTTAGTCTGTTTTTTTGTGTTGGAATTCATCTAAAATGTGTTCTCCTAATGTTACGACTTTATTCTTTGAATTAATATAGTTTTTTCTCCCGTTTTGCTGGAACTGATGCTCCGTCCTGCTTTCTGATGCGCTCGCTGTCCTCTGTTGTCCTGTCAGGTGCTCAGGGCCGCCCTGGCCCAGGTTAGGGCTGTTGCTGATGGAGGAGTCACAGCTGCTGACCTGACTCGGGCCAAGTAAGAGACACGCATGGTCAGCTGAGTGAGAAAGGAAATGGTCACAGTTTTAAACATAAACCAAACACAGTTTACACTCTATTACAAAGTTGTTGCCATTGTCATACGTGTGGTTTAACTGGTGTCTAAAGTACATCCATGGGTTTTCTTCTTCTCAGAGGTGAACTTGAACTACACTTGATGTCGTCCAACTGATGGGACACCTTGTGATTTTATTAGTAACCAAGCAAAATGATGTGTGCTGGTTTTTTATTCTGTTTATTTTATTTTTATTCTGTCCTGTCAGACTCAGTTTCCGAAACCACACAAAAAAAAACCTTGTAGAAAACTTGCGGGGTCCAATTGACCCGACCTCTTAAGACATGAGTATCATTATTTTGTCTCTAAACCAGTAAACATTTCTTTTTTTCCTCTTCAGGGCTCAGCTGAAAGGTCAGTTCCTGATGTCTCTGGAAACGACTGAAGGTCTGCTGGAAGCCATGGGCTCTCAGGCTCTGGCTGATGGGTCCTACCACAGGCAAGAAGAAATCTCCAAGAACATTGACAACGTCTCCCTGACTGATGTTGCAAATGTAAGATTTTGTGTTTCATTTATTGATTTATTTTTGTCTATTATGGGTTAAAACGTTGCAGGTTGAACCTTTCGCTTCAGCTGCTGCTTCATCTTCCAGTTTTGGCTTTGATTAATAATAATTGCTTACAGCAATTGTGAATAATGCTAGTAATTTAGATCAAAATGACCAATTCAGGGCACCACTTTATTATCAAGAAAATAATAGCCAAATAGCCAAATCTGTTATCATTTATAAATATCTGCTATCTACTGATGAGGCTCAGCTTTTAAAGTAATAGATGAAGACATAAGTCTAGCGCAGGTGTTATGTGAATAGTAAGAAATTACAGATTTATTAAATTAGCACACACTTCTTTAAAATATACAAACTAAACCAGAGCTAACAAAGGTAAAAACATTAAAATAAAACCAATTAAAGGATTGAATGATGTCGTATGTCAGGAAAACATTTGATCAGCTTTGTTCCTTTTTGCTCTCTTTCTCCCCCCAGGCTGCCAAGAAGTTTGTGACGAGCAAGAAGACGATGGCTTCCTCCGGCAACCTCAAAAAAGTTCCCTTTGTGGACGAAATTTAAAACAATTAATAGGTACAGTAGTACCTATTAATTGACAGCAATGTTCAAGTTATTTCTCCACATTTGAATCAAACCATTTTTTTTATGCTACAAATCTCAGAACATTGTTATGGTAACACCACTGACTCTTATCTGTGCCGTGACAGGATGTTGTTTGCTCCCTGCTGCATTTCTGTACCGTCTTTCATCTGTTCAAATGGCAACTGTATAGCTGATGTAAAATAAGGAATAAAATTTATCTGCCTTCTAAATGTTTCAGGCTCTCTCTGTCCTTGATGAAAACAACCAAAAAAATGTGTGGATGCATCGTTACTCCACAGTCCTTCCTGATTTACAAATCGAAATGATCCGACATGTTGCGCTCTGGTCCATCAACGGCAAACTCATTTTTAATTAGGGCCATATAAAGTCTGTCAATGTCTTAAAAGGGCCAGTTGTAGTTAAATGTATTAATGAAACTCGTTAATAAACCCCTTAAATATGAATAAAAAGCTGCCTTTGTGCTCAATGAGTTCTCGGAGTTAAATAATACTGAATATCATTTCACATCGATGTAATTTGGCAGAATACATAGAAAACTACAGAAAAGGGTCACAGCCACTGGAAAATGAAAGAATACTGGTTTTAGTCTCATGAGGTCAAAATTCTGAGAACTTAAATTTTTTTTATTCTTTTTTCCAGAATTCAGATTTTCTTTCTTAGAAATTTGCCTCTTTTTTTTTCTCAAGAAAAGCCTGGGCCCCATATCTAAAGTAAGCCGTGCCTCTGCGCGATCCGCCCCGCTTAGTCGCACTAGCAAACTACTACAAGTACTGCGGATGTCAATAGTTTAAAAAGCGAGCTTTGTATTACATGACGCTCCTGAGAACACATTTTGAAATGGAAAACAGAATTTGGCCTGGATTTAATCGAAGATAAAAAATATAAACAAAGTCAAATTTAATGCTTCACACATTTTTTAAATAATTTTTTGAAGGTACATATTGCATGTGAAGGTCATATGCTTCAACAACTTTTAGTCAAACTTAAGTAATGGGTCTTTAGGGAAAGAAAAAGAAAAATTTCTTTCCTGGCTTCCGTAGTTCCTCTGATGCCCCAAACTCTATCGGAGCCTCCAACCCTGACCTCATGCTGCATTTGCATGTTTTGCTGGCAGGGAGATTATGTTATTCATGTTCCCACGTCTTTGAATAACGTGGTGGTGGGGCGGGGGCTTCGATTCGGAGAAAGATGTTCACAAAGCCGTGAAATTCAGGATGAATGCCAGCAGCAGAAATCTAGTTGGGTCAAAGGTTATTTGGTGCCACTCAACCCACAACAACAAAGTTCAAGCATCCGAACTCACCTTTGATCTAAATGTTGTTACTCAAACTCTCTTGTTTTCTGGTGTATGCACAGCTGCAAGGAGTTTTCATCCCAACGTTAAATGAAATAAGCTTTGATCGCTGCGCGGTCCACAGCTGAGGAAACTACGACGACCCATCAGGGCCGCCGCAAATTGGGGAAAAAAAAGGAGTAAATCTCCACCAAAACAACTCAGACTTTTTGAGACTGTCAGAAATTTTCAAGAAAAACAAGTTAACTTCTGAGGTTGAAAATTCAAAAATTTGCGAAGTCTCAGAAATTTTCGAGACAAAAAAGAAATCTCTTAATTTGAAAAGTCTAATATGTTTTGACTTTTGAAAATAAAGAAAATTTGTCAGTTTTTTTTTTTTAGCATTTCTGAGATTCATCTCAAAATTTATTTAGTGTTTTTGCAGAAATTTACTCCTGCCTCCACTTTCTTTGTATCTACAATGTCTCTAATACACCATCGTTGGAAACAGAACCTTATAAAACTTTGCGAAGGTAAATGGCACAGAAACCCATGGTGACTCTGGAGGAGGTACAGAGATCCACAACTCAAGCTGTGAAAACCTACAGTTAGTCAAATGTCTCTCAAATGGTCCATTTTTAAAAATGTACATTTTCTACAAACAAGCCATTTTATTTGTAACAGTTTTATTTTCAGTTTCTATGGGTGAAGTTCACAAAAATGTTGAATCATCTTTATTAAGTAAATAACTGCAGTATGTGTTCACAGCAAAAAAAAAAAGTATGTATTTTGACAAAACATAACATTTCAATACATAAATGTCAGTTGTTGTTTTTTTTTTGGCTACAAACAAATGTTGTATTCATTAATAACATTTTGGTGTTACTTGTAATAACAAAATAAAAGCAAAATATGACAAACAGTAGAGGAAAAAAGTTGATTTTTCATATTTAATGACAAATCCTAGTTTTTCATCAATTACAACAATTAAGGTAACAAGCAACACTTAACCATCAACATTTCCTCAAGAGAAACAAGCAAGAATAAACCAAGAAGAAGGGAGCGCACAGAGTCGCCACAACATGTGACGAAAACAGACAAAGAGCAACGAGAATCCACTCTGTGCTCATGTCCAGCCCTTTCTGAAATGTATTTACAAATGAAAAAGAATAACAAGACCTACTGCAGTGTGAGCAGACCATTGCAAACCAGCAAAGTTAAAAACGTCGCTCACTGAGACTCGAGTTAATTGTTCATTGCTGAATTCAAAACTTAAAGGTACATTTTATCTAACACTAATTTTAGTTTACCTTAGAATTTTTATGTGTGTGTGTGTGCGTGTGCATATTTGCTCGTATTACCTTGTGGGGACCATTTTCCTGACACATACTATGTTGTGGGGACGCACTGCTCTTGTGGGGACCGAAGCCTGGTCCCCACGAAGAGACCAGGCTTTGAGATCTCGGATGACAGATTCAGTCTCCAGTAATCACACCATCAGGGAGCTGAGTACAAATGGAGGGCACAGTTTTTAGAGTGTTATCATTTTGAAAAGCTACTCTGCAATCATGCACTGGCAAAACAGTCCATTGGTGTCTGTGGTTGCAACCCAACAGTTCATAGGAAGGTTAACGTATGAACACATACAAATCACTGTACAATGAAGTGACAACCGTCTTGAAATGTCAGAGAGCAGCAAAAATGTTGACGCACACGGACATTTTTAAACCATTGCATGTGACAAAACTGTATAATTCTTTTGCACGTTTTACATGAACACTTTGTTTCGGTTATCCAACTGAACGCAGCAAATAGGACTCATATAATGACAAAAACAAAGGAAAGGTTTGCAGAGGGGACACTTTACAGATGTTGCTTTTTACATACATACTCGAATAAAACCCCATGATCGACAACTCCAAAATGAGGAGGGACCTTGGTACACACCACAAGGGGGCACAATTGTTCACAGCTCAATCTGTCCCTGTGAAACTCTTGCACCACCTGGAAAAAACAAACAAACAAAAAAAAGCAAGTTGTCTACACCGTTGTCGCTTCAGTTTGTGTATAGTTCGTTCAGGGATCAGCAGCGTCAGGCCTTACTGGGCCCTCTCTGCTGCATCCTGGCCATTTGTGCGGCTCCGAGCAGCAGAGTTCCGGTGAGCAGCTCCAGGCCGTAGGAGAGCCAGGCCAGGCCCAGAGACCAGCCGAAGGAGGTGTGGATGTAGGCCAGGCCCTCGGGCCCCACCAGGCGCTTCGTCTCCGCCAGCGCCTGGTCGGAGTAGACGATGTAGAGACTCGCACCGCAAAGAGTCAGTAGGCCTGGATGTGGAAGCAAACAGAAAAAAAAGGAGGAATATTGTATTTTTTTAGGTGTCCAGATACAAATGTTTATTTTGAGAAAAAGCAGATCATCTACGCAACAAATAAATCTAGTACTTCTCATGAGAAAGCCTGCACCAGGCTGAGCCTGCAGGGCCTTTTATCACGGCGGCCCATTATGATCCATTAATACTGTCAGATAAAGTGCAGCAGCCATAAAATGATTAATTCTGCTGTAAAATATTTATGAAAGTTTTAGCAAATAAAACTTTCTATCAATAATTTTTCATTTTAGAAAAATTATTGATAGAGATAAAATGTTATGTGTTGGCTTATTGATTTTTAATCGATCTGAGTTTACATGGAAATACATTTATATGTTTAATAGGTTATGTAACCATTATGAGTCCACAATGCCTCATTCTAAAGCACAATCTCTCCCAATCTGTGCTATCAGTTATGATGCTATAATCTCAGCATGAAGGACAAATTGACTGCTGTTCCTCACTTTCTTCTCCAGTTTACATTGTCTTCTGTTATTTAAACTGTCAACTTTAAGTTTTCTGTCACTTTATTCATGTTTCAGAAAGTCAGAGCTCCATCTGCTCTGACTTTCTGTTTACCTGACTGATTTGACTTGAATTGGATTCAGTGGACGTGGCGAGCACTGCTGTAATCTGATTGGACTGCTGATCCAGGAATCAGATCAATTTAAAGAGACAGAGTCAAATTATTCCACAATGTGCCACAGGATCTGGGAAATATTTATGTTCTGAATGAATTTTAACGCACAATCAATACTGATTTTTGTTTTTTACGTTAACATGATTTTAAATTAGTCTTCAAAAAAGACAAATTTTGAGGTTTTTGCTAATTATTCCATTGACACAATAACCCATACATGTGATTTTCCATTCAAAACCATGCAAGCTCCACATCCTCCGGTCAAGATCTTTTTCAATCAGTTTGTGGACTCTGACATCACCTGGACGCTAATCTGAGAGACTACAATCAAGCTGGCAGAAATCTCATATTGAGAGACAGGAACATCAGCATTTCCTGTGCACCGAGGTGCACAGGAAATGCACTGATGTGTGCGATATTAGCCTCCCTTATCTACATAGACAGAAAGCAAGACCCACCGGTTTTCACTGTGTTGCTATTGGAAACCATTTTAATTTTGACAGCGTGCTCCCGGTTTCAGTGGATGCGAGTGGAGCTACCCAGGGTGGTGACTAATCAAGATTTTATTACAATTACACCCTGAGGTGCAACAGAGAGGGGGCTGTGATGAGGAACCGAGTCTGATGTCTCATTGTTATGCTGTTGACGGCAATGAGTTGGAGGGAGAGAGAAAAGGACGAAGACGCTGCTGGGATGCAAACAGGAAGGACAGGAGTTTACTGTTGTCCTCCGCTTCAGAAACAAAAGTTGCTATCGATGTGGGTTCAGGTGGGGAAAAAAGTAAGACGTCGCTTTGTGTTGTTGGGATGTAAACAGTATTTCCCAACAGCTGGTGTCAAACTCATCATTCATGTAAAGAAAAGTGTACAAGTTAAATGGTTCACCTGTCAAACACCAGAGTTATGGCCTGGATTGCATCTTATAAAAAACACCTGACAAGGTGGAAGGAAAAACGGTTTCAGTTTTCTTCATTAATACAAATCTAAAAAGTGCAGCACTTACATAAGTAAATACTTTCCTGTTTCCAGCAGATACTTTCTCATGTGAATCAGACAGCACTTATTGAAGACCAAATGTTTTCCTGTGCACAACATTTTGTGAAGAACCAGGAGATTTTTTATCTGTGAAATGTGTTTTATGAATGAATACTTATTTACTCTCACTCAGCCACAATGGAACAGTTCAGATTCTAGCAGGTTCATGTTGGAATAAAGGTGCTGAAGCTGTGACAACAGTCCCTCTTGTAATAACAGCATGAAACAAAGTTAGCAAGTACACAGCTGCCATCTACACAAACACAAATCTGCTTCCTGGATCTTAAAATGCTCGTTTTGCTTGGTGATTGATGATTGGTGGGGAGTAGTTGCATCATTTGCCTCGTGGCACAAGAATAACCAGCTCCACAAAACCGGGAGTTCGGGGCAAATCATTTGAATCCCTGCCGAACATTTCCTTTCTGACGGAAACCGTCTCAACCTTTATTTGTAATAATAGCAAATCGTTAAGATGGCTATTAAGCTGAAATCATGTCTCTCTGGAGAGGTTAGATGAGTCTGATGGTCTGATGGTTTGATCACGCATTGATTGCTGCAAAATGTGCATTTTTTTTATTCATATTGCTGCACATTAAAAGAACTTCATTACTTTTTATGACTGTCTTATTGCATGACATAGTGCATCTTGAAGACCAAAAGCCAAGAGCATTGCCTTTGTCCTGATAAACTCTGGATTAAGCAGTTAGTTAGTTAGTTAGTTAGTTAGTTAGTTAGTTAGTTAGTTAGTTAGTTAGTTAGTTAGTTAGTTAGTTAGTTAGTTAGTTAGTTAGTTGATGGATACTCACTCGACAGAAAATACAATTTTTAAGAAATGTATTGAATTATTGTTGAACGACTGACTCTGGTGTTTTCTCCTAACATTTTCTGATGGAGTGCCGCAATTTGCCGACAGATGATCTTGTGTGGGTGAGAATATTTTTTTTTAAATCAATTTCACATAAATTTGAAAGGCTCCATAAGATCCATAAGACACTAAAGCGAAGGACATTATATCTATAATTTTAGTTTTACTTAGTTAGCTTTATGAGCGCATGATATAGTTTCCCCCATTAATGACTGTTTTTATTTATTTTCAGTTCAAAAATGTTTTCAATTTCAGTTTTGATCATTTCTTTGGTTTCAGTAACTGTATTAACGAAGCTGCAGCCTGACTGAGGCGCCTCCACTCAAATCACTGCATTTAGCACTTCCTGATGTAAAGGGGGGGAATATTGATACAGTCTCTTCTATTACGTCAACTGTTTTTATTTATCTCTCATTATTTGTAGAAATTGCTTTTCACACTAACATTAAATCTGCCATTTCCTGTCAAAAAAATTCCACATTTTGTCGATTGTGATTGATTTGTAAAACCTCCCAATGGGGTGTGAATACTTGTTAACTGTTACTTGTGAGAAACAAAAATACAAGAAGAGCATATCTTGAAACGCTTTGGGGGTTTAGACAGACAAGTATTAAAGGTAAAATGTGTCTGTTTATCTGTCTTAAATTTGAACAGATCAGTTTTCATTAGTTTTCACAGTTTTTGATGAATTGCATTTCTACAAATTTATAGCTCTGGAAAAAATTAAGAGGTCACTTAAAATGATCAGTTTCTCTGATTTGACTTTTTATATTTATATATTTTCAGTAAAAAGAACAGGAATCAATAGTTGTTGGAATAATAAAATGGTTGAGTGCAGTGGGCTCTTCATTTTTTCTAGAGCTGCATGTATCTATTTTACAGGTTTATGTTTGGTGTGAGGCGGTTAAAGGAGGGGTTCACCCAGGGCGCCATTCAGGAAGGAGCTTCCGAGGCCGTATGTATGGCTGCAAAGCCATGCAACTTTTATTGAATTCTGATCTTGTTTTCTCTGATGTTTAAACACAGCGAATGAGTATTTCTTTAAAGGCTATTAGCAAATCCTACGTTAAAAATCAAGAGCCGCCGATTGAAGAAAAAAAATCGTCTTTCTAAATGTTGGACAGTCAAGAAGTTCACAAAAAGGTTCTAATCGAATTCAAGCCTTCACCTCATCCCGCTCCTCACCATGTGCTGGTTATTAAGGGAAGGCTGTAAAGAGTCTTTGTAGGTGTCTTTATGGAGGTCATAAGGCCTCCATAAGATCAAGCTGGGCTAGGTGTGCCACAAGCTCAGAAGATTGCTTTATGAGTCCAATAGTAATCTGATAACCAGAAATACCCACATTAACATAACAACGTTAAGGGTAAGCTAACTTTACCAACATCCAAAACATAGGAATTGGTTAGATATTCCGAAGCGATGTCCGTAGAGAAAGGTTGTCTTGTTTCTACAGCCCCACCGTCCTATTGGATGATCACAGCAGTTCATAAAAACAGACTGAAGTTAGTTTTGCTCGTCATCCTGATTGTGTTTGTTCTGACTGAGGTCTTCATAGGATTAGGGTTAGGGTTAGATCACATAACCCAGGAACTGCAGGGTGTGAACTGTTCTCTTCATCTTGTTGCCTGTGCTGGAACTTTAAATGAACTCTTTCATAATGCAACGTTTTCCGTGGTGCCAAACATTTGACACACAGCCATCCCTTCACCTAGCAGTGAATAGGTTTATGTTCCACTGGCTGTGAATAAAGCTCAAAAGATGATAAATCCGCTTTGCTCACATCACACAATGTTTTACTGTAATCAATTCACAGATTTGGTTTTGAAAGCTTGCTCAAAATTTTTTTCTAACCTTTTTTTCCCCCTGCTGAGTACACCTAATTTAATTTCGTTGAATTAAATAAATCCTCACAGCCCAACACTTTTGCAAGTCTGCTTTGTAACCCTGAGCCGCACAGTCTAACATCGCAATGTTAAAATGTGTACTGAATTCATTCTTTGTTCCCTCTAATGCATGGATTATGAATCCTTGAATCAAGATTTTTTTAAATGTGTTTTTACTCTTCTTAGGGCATGAAAAAAACAAATGTGAACTTTTTTTTTTCAAAAATTGTATTTTTCCAGGAAGTTACAGAAATGTCCACTACAGTGGACTGACTGCATGCCCTTCAGCGCTCAACACTGAACAATATGAACTTAACTGAAGAATAATTTCATCTGAGTTTGATTATAAATTCATGAACACATATTTCATTGTGGGCTTTGAAAAGCACTTGAACATGCTTTCATACACTTTAACATAACATACTATATCCCTTCAATTAATCCAAACTGAGAGAACAATCTTCATCAAACACCTGCATCTCCAGAACTCCTCTTCTAACTTCTCTTCTAATTCATTTTCCTAACTCCTAGGCTACATGAAAAACAGATGCTCTGTGACAAGATCCAGGAGACGAGTTCGCATCATTTGATGTTCCGTCGCTTTATCATCTCTACTGCACACAGTGGGAAACTGTCAGGAAACATAGCCACTGGTTCCGATAAGAACCAGTGGCTTGATCTCTCCTGCTCAGTAAAGGCCAAAGAAGTGGAAGCCTTTACTGAGCAAAGACAAAATCAAGTTTACGAGGGAGGATGGCAATGACAACAAACTATCCGTTTGCATCGTCATGCATACATTCAGACAGAAACCCCCCCAGTTTTCTATCAACTCTCTGAATCTCACCCATCAATGGAGCAAAAAACGTTCAGTCACTAAAACCTTGTGGAACCGAGTCCAACAGATCGCCACGAGGACCGAAGTGAAGGATGAGAAACACACTTCAAACATCGAGAAAACACACAACTCACTCTAATGAAGAAGAAAAGGAAAGGAGAAGGAAAGGTCATCGTGTGATGCGGCTGGAGATTCTGAGAAACTGAGGATGTTTTCCAAGCATGACATAAAACCCAGCAGCTCTCTCAGAATGATTCATTTCAAGGATAAAACACCCAAACACACTCTCACTGCAGTGATCAGACCTCTAGATTGGAGAAACAGCTCATATCATTAGAGACATGTTTGGACCATCAAACCCTGAGCAGAACAGAGGGGTGGAACCACATGTTCTACCGGCCCCACTGCGGTGACCTTAACGACCTCTCAGCCTGCTACGTGCATCTTCCCTCCTGGGTGAATGAGCTGAAGAAACATTCAGGAGCAGCTGGACTTGTTCCGTTGCCTCTACTCCAATGAGGCGAAGCAGAGCCGCCCTCACGCTTAATGCAATGTGTTACTGCTGCTTTTATGTAACTTGGCTGCTCCCATAAGAGCAACAGGGCGACATATGAGGCGATGATCTCTCATCATTCAAGGTGTAAACTTTACAACTCTGCAGCCTTAGTTTGGAGTTATTTAGTTTGTAGTGCAGATTTTCACTGTTTTGCTACACGTTTTTCTTCCACATAGTTTTCTCTTAATATGCTTGAATATGGCACATTTTGTTTCATGTCTTCGGAGTAAAACAACTTTTTGTTGACGCTCCAGTCAGTTGAGCTCCAGTCAGTTGAGCTCCAGCTCTTTCAGTCGTAACTTACTGCTGGTGTAGAAGTAGCAGGCCGTGCCGGTGAGCAGCGCGGGGCTCCGAGCCAGGGCGCTGACCAGCCCGCAGATCCCCCCAAACAACAGGAGCACCAGGCTGAGCGGCACCATCACCACGACGGCTCTGTGCATGCCTGGAGCGGAAACACACGAGTTGAGCAAACAACACACACACAGAGAATTTATGAGGAAATAAAGCTGAAGTCTTACTCAGCATGCGCAGTTCCGTCTCGGTGTATTTGGAGGAATCGGCTGCAAATGAATCAATGGAGTAAGGATGCATCTTCCCTCCTGGATGTAAAGGGGGAAAAATAAAACCAGCCACACAATTCTTCCCCTGTGATTTAACTAGATCTCCTGGATGGTGCGTTTAATGGCGCAGCCTACCTTCGTTGACGCGCCACAATCCCGAGTGAGAGCTCATGTCCTCAAACTCGGTCGTGTTCATCGGGTTGATCTCTATGATGTACCAATAATCGGTTCCGAGGGAAGTCGCCAGACAGGCGAAGCTGAGGACGCCGCAGACCCCGGCGGTGATGACCAGAGCGCCAAAGGTTACCTTCATGGTGCGCGGCTGAAGGCTCGGCTTCGTGCGTAACGCGGAGTCCCCGGCGGTGATCCAAAGCTTCCCACCGACTCTGCGACGCACGAGAACGTTCAGGAAGAAAAAAAAATCCGCCAGATATATTTCCGAACGGCAGTAAGAAAATTCTGGCATCAAACTGGAGGGTCTCTGACGACAGTGTTCCTGTCTGGGAGGGACTTGACCTGATTCACTCAGTGCGCGCGTTTACGCAAAGGAGAGGAGAGAAGAGAGGTTGAACTCTGGAAATATTATAAATGCAAAACAGTGTCCTGGAAATGTATACCATTAAACACGGGCTACATTTTATTTGGATGCTGCTGTTCATTAGCAGCTCTTGATATGGGCAGTTACCCAGGGCGACATTAGAAAGGGCCAAAACACACAAAGACTAGAAAAAAATACCTTGTTGTAGGCCTACCTTGAACAACTTTGCAATACTTTCTGGTGAATACTGTGAGACTGTTTCTGCTAAAAACAAAAATTGTGAAGTGGAAGAAAATAATGTTATTGTGAGAGAAGCTCTGTTTGCAACAAGTAAGGTGGGCAAATGCAAGAAAAGCAAACAACAAAATTTACATGATTTATGTTGAATTTCTATATTGAGTGCTTTATAGAGCTCGGGAGCAAATATAAAAAATAAAAGTATTAAGTGGCTGGAAAACAAATATTTATGTTGCAGTCCATAAAGTATTCACAACACTTCACGTTTCTCAACATTTTTTTCTAGTACACCCCTTTTCTAAATTGCATTACATAAATCTCTTTCCTCAAAATTCTAGAAAACCAAGAAATCCCATTTTTAATTAAATTTACAATCTGACTATATTGTAACAAAATACAAACAGCAAAGCACTGTGAAGTATTCAGGATTTATATACATCATATTTTACAAGGTACTGAATCCATCACTAAAGTATGGCAACGAAGAAAAGACATGAAATGAAACCATGTGAATAATCAAAGTTTAATGTAAAGCCACATAGTGCTACGAACCAGCACATAGTACAAACAACACCAAGAGCAAGAAATATGAACACAACAACACAGAAGCTAAAAACAGAAATCAGAGTGAGGGAAGGCTCATCTCGTCATCCTGATCACTCCTCTCCCATGGCCGTTTTAATGATTTCTGCTCGCCTCAGCCTGGCTGCTTCCTCAAACTTGGCAATGGCCTCATTTCCAGTTTTGTTCTGTGAATGAAAGGAAACAAAGTTCTGAATCGGACCAAGAACAGCAGTCTGGAATCAGGAATTGGGGCATGAAGAAGAACGTACAACTCCGAATTTGTGCCTCTCCTTCTGGAGTTTGAAGAATTCTTCCACGGTCAGCTCCTCTACTTTTTTCTTCAGGGCAATAAAGTGACAGGATGACGAATGGGATCTGTGTTCCTTCCTGATAAAACAGAGCAAAATTAATAATCATGACAAATATTTACAAATTCATACAATCTGTATACTATTAAGTACAAAAACTTCTGGATGGCAAAAAGAAAATGAAAAGGCGAAGCAATCCAAACTGAACAGAAGACCCATTTAAATCCTGCACCGATTTCTGGTCCATCACCAATATTTAAAAAGCCTGATCTGCCTATTCCGATTTCTTTTTATCTAAAAAGTCACTAAGTTGGTAAAAGAGAAGTTGACTGTTAATCACACATGTTGGACATGTGTGATTAACTCTCAGTCTCACCTGAGAGTCCCAGGTGAGACTCTCAGAGCAATGCAGGACAGTGGCTGATTTTCAGAGCTTTGTAATAACTTGGGAAAGAACCTCAAACCAAATACCACATTTTTCAAAATTCTAAGGCAGAATAAAACAATAGTCAAACAGACATAATAAAACCAAGCTGTTTTATTTGTAAAGGTGTATTTTGCTTATTTAGCTTCATTTGCCAACAGTTTGTTAATGTAGAACCAACCAAAGGAGGAATATACACATCGTATACTAACAGCTTTGGAAAAGTGTCTTACATACTGGTAACACATGTGTGTTAAATATCGGTAACACACATGTGTGGCCCAGTTAAGTGCAGTTCTTACTCTGGGTCGTCCTCTGGCTCCCAGCCTTCCAGCTCCTTGAGGCAGAAGAAACACATGGCCGTGTCTGGGCTGTTCTCTGACGGCGTGTGGATAAAACCTGCTCTGGCCATCTGCACCAACACATAGAGAGCACTGAGACAACACACGTCCACAAGCTTTTCATTTCAATATTCCACACACATCCAGGCTGAAAGTTTCTAAAATGAGAAAGGTTTTATCGTTCCCACTTGGAGATACAAACACTTTCACCTGGTTACCACAGAGGCTTTTCTGGCATAAAATAAATATTGTTACCAAAATAAAAAAAATCACAAATACCTCATATAAAGCTTCATATGAAGTTATTGTGTTACCATGTCAACAGTTTGTGGTACTTCACTGTTTCATACTCACGTTTTCAGGCGTGCACGCGCAGTCTTCGTCAAACGGCCACCCTTGAAAGGTTTTAAGTCTGTTCTCAAAAAAATAGAACTTGATATCGTGTTGGTCCAACAGGTCCATTATGTGTTTCACAAGCTTAGCTCAAACTTCTGTCTGCTAACAACTGCTAATCTAGAGGGCGTTTTCAAATTTCGGCGGATGTTCACTTCGGCTGTTTTGATTGGGCCTTGTCTGCCTTCTTCTTCGTTGGTGCTTAAACAGCTCGACGCGTTGACCGGACGCCACCTAGTGTCTGGCGTTGTGGGAACATTAATGAGGTCATTTTTCGAAATGTCAGTATTGTTTTCCCCTAATTGCATTTATTGTTTCTCTGCTTAATGGAAATACTTTAAACCTACTCGCTCCAGAGACCCTAACGTCTGTAAAACAAGAGGATAGAGCAAAAAAAGAAAAATCCTCGGTCTCTTTTTCTTTTTTTACACCATTTCCCTCTAATAGTCATGGGTAATGTAGTTCATGACTGTCATTGGTTGAAACAACGAGGCGCGGGACTTCCGACGTCTTCCTCATGTCAACAGCTGGTCACAAAGTTAACTTGCAGCTCTTGGCCACTGACCCTGCTGTTAAAGTCGGTATGTAGGAAACGAGTATGAAACTCCGCGGTCGTGATGGAAGGACGGTGTGCTGCTGAGTCTTGGGCTGAGTTCGGCCTTTTAGGGAAATCTGGAACACCGCTGGTGGAGTGTGGAACTGGGACTGATGTTTTCATCTGCACTGGTGGTGAGGAGGTTTATGTCTTCACTGCGCAGGAGAAAACACTCAGGGTAAGCAGGTTCATGTTTGAAGTCATTAATTCACAGATGCAAGCTGGAAAGTTTATGTTTCTGCAATTCAGTTCCTAAAGTCCTCCATGTACGATATGGGTTCATTTCACACAAACTGTTGAACTAAGCATTTGATCATTTCGATGCTAATGAAAATCCACGATTAATTTTCTTAGAAAATTCAAATATTACACGAGACCAATAAAAATACATTTTAAAAGCAGAAATGTTTAAAAGTATGTCAACTTTTCATCAACACAGCACAGAGACCAGCCTGCTTTAACTAGGCCTCTGTCTGCTGGACCGCTGCCTGGTCAGCTTTTCCCATAATGTATTAAAAGTATGTTTTTATTGGTCTTACTTAATATTGTAATGGATGTTTTCATTGCAGCTGATGGACACACAATTCCTTCCTGTTACTTCCTGTTTGGTTGTTGTGTTGCAGGCCGTTCTTCAGATGCCTGCTGTTGTGAGGGATCTGGTTGTCAGCCAGGATGAGCAGCTCCTGTTTGTGGCATGCTGGAGTGGAGTTTACTGTGTCAACGTCCAGCTGCTGGTACCCAGGTACAAATCACTTCCTGTCACTCAGTAGCAGAAAGTGTGTTCACTCATAGTTTATGAGATTTGAGATTCGAGATATGAAATATGTTTTTTTTTTTCTGATCTTTGACCAAAAACTCATCTGAATGACTCATCTGATCTTTTCACCCACAAAAAATCTCATCTCAGCCACATGATAAACTATTTTGGATATGTATCTGATAGTTATCAAAGTGCCAGCAGTCTGAACCATCATGGTCATTTTATCCAGGTTTTATGTCATTGACATGCGTCATCGTTAGTTGTAAATTGTTCACACAGAAGTCTAATTTTCAGTCAAAAAGAAATTGGAATTGGCCACAATCGGATCAATCAAGGCTTCCTCCCAAAAATCTGCTAAGGCTGTGGTAGGGGGCACTAGGGAGTCCACCAGTAGGATGTAAAGCCTGAACGCCTGCCAGGCTTATATTACACAGGGTAAATCCTCTGGCATTTAGAGGATGGGTTATCGGCTATAAACTGCTGTCAGTGCACTTCTCATCTCTGTAAATCTGATTTGACCTTTCATTTGTTGGGGGTCAAAGTTCCTCCCATGATGCAGGTTCTGGTCCCAATGAGTTGAAGATCTCTACCGAGTGTCTCATTGCCATCGCCGACAGAGTGTCGTCCCTCCTGGTTGTTGGTTCTGTGCTCCTGTCCCTTTGCCGGACCGACGTGTCCTGGTCACTGACTCTGCATCAAACCCAGCGGGCGTCCCAGTTCGACCCCTGTGACCTGCTTGCCTCCTTCTCTCTGCCGCTGGTCTCGCCTTCCGTTCAAGGCGACACGGAATCCAGATGTGTGCTGGTGTGTGTGTATCCCGGCGACGTGTCGCCAGCCTCCTCAGCTCCTCGTCTGCCTCGTTCCCACTTCCGCCTCCAGCCTCTCCTCTTCAGACTCCTCTTTGGGGCAGAAGCGGCGCTCTCCAAATCGCCAGTTGTGCTCTGCGGCCTGCCAGACGGACGGCTGTCCTTCCTCCCTCTGCGCATCCCGGGATCCAGGCTCCGGACCCTCCACAGCCTCGAGCAGCCGGTCATGTTTGTTGGAGCATCTGCTGTCATGGAAACCGATGCAGGTTGTGCGGGGTGCTTGATAGCTCTGGGCAAACAAGGCAGAGCCGTTCTGATCAGGGCTGGCAGGGTTGGGTCAGAGGGAGGCGGCGGCGCCAGGTTTACCCTGGGGTGCGTCCCAGGTCCCGTGGACTGCGCCTGTATGGGTCAGAGCTGCGTTTACTACAGCACCGGCTCAGACCTGCTAACGGTGGATCTGTGGAACAATTCTTCTGGGACAGCAGGAAGACGGGGTGACGAGGGGGACGAGGTGTCCCGGTCCAACCCCGCTGCCGTCCTCACACCCGTCAGTTTAAACGTGAGCGGAGTCGCGGCTTTGCACCAGCCGACATGCAGCTCTGCAGGTGAGTGGATGATGCCTCACATGCAAAAATATTTACACCCCCCAAATGTTTTGTCACATTTCCAGTGAAGCATTGAATGTGTCGTAATAATGTATAAAATAAGTTTAAATCTTCACAATAAGTCAACTTTTTTACCTGATTAACTCATAAATTGTCAAAATAATCATTAGTTGCTGTCCTATGTCATCAGCAATAACCAGTTGCTATTATGTTGACCTGATGAAGTTGCAGTATAATATGTCTCAAGTATCAACATCAAGTAGGCAATGGTAAATATACTGCAGACAGTGTGTAGTTGATAAAAATAGATCCAGAAAGGCCTTTGTGCAGCATCAATTTGATCAAAATTTGAACATTTTGAAAATGATGTTAAAATCTTGACATGTAATTGTGAACTTAGTACCTTGTCTCATTTAGTCTCATCTTGTGCATTTCAGGTAAAGTTACATCTTTAGCTCATTTGTTCTCCATCTAACCATTGCTGAGCTTTAGTTCTTCTTTGCATTGAAGAATTCAAAAGAATTTCACTTCATAAACCTGCAAAACTAGTTATAAATTTTAATTTATAATAACTTGGAGAATCATACCATTCCGCTTTTCAATCATTCACTCCCTTCTGTTACATTAATAAAGTGACTGTCTGGTTCGGAAGCCTTTATCTTCAGTTCTTTAGAGTCTTGAATCATATTTAAGCTTTGAACCGTTCTGTAGGTTGTGGCTTAGTACAGTGTGTGACCTCCACCCCCAGGTGAAGTTCAGCTGCTCAGCCTATCGGTCAGAGGGCGGCTGCAGTCCATCCGTCTCCCTGTTAGGACACAGGAGGACAGTTTGTCCAAGCGTCCGTCCTCCCTGGTTGGACGCAGCGTTGGGGACATGCTGTCTGCCATCGGGGACGTTTGTGAAAGGTGCGCCAACCGAAGCACGTCCGTTTGTTTTAGAATCATGAGCAAAACCAGAGATGAGTTCAACCAGCTGCGTTTCCATTTCCATGTTGATCACGTACTACTGACAAAAATAACAAAGACGACAACAGGAAGTAGTAAGAGGATCATGTTTCTTTTTTTGGGGTTTTGTTTTTTTGAGTTTGGACTATGTGCAGCTGGCTCATTCCTCTCACAGCATCACAGTTCATGAAAAGTTGTGTGTAATTCCAACATGTTGAATCCACATCTCTAATGTAAAATGGCCGACTATAATTCTGTTGCATATGTAGCCGCTCCCAAGGAGGAGGGAGCTTGTCACTCCAACAGCTGTACAAGGCGCCGACGTCTTCTGATTGGCTGATAGATAATGAGCGCTAGCACCATGGCTGAATTATGAATATATCTCATGAAATTGTGTTTTTTAGCAAAACATAGACAAAGATTTGAACACATTTATAATGGAAACGTAGCTACTGGATGAAAATGAAACTCTTTCCAAGTTTGTCAACTAAATATCCCTCTATTGATATTAAAATTGTATCTTCAGGGATTTTATTTTGTGACCCAACTTTCCCAAACCTAACGTGCTTTCAATCTGTTTTCCTTCAGAGCTTCAGTGCTGAAAACCATCATCAGATCTAAGAATCAGATCCTGAAGCAGCTGAATCAGGTGATGAACATCAGCTTCCTGCTGGCGAACCGTTCAGAGTCAGAGTCTGACGTGAAGCCAGTCAGGTGTCATGGTTTGGCACGGTGGAGCAGACTGCTACAGAGAGACTCCCTGAACCTGACATGCATCCTGGAGAACTTGAGTCCTTTCGTCCTGGAGCGGGGCTGGACGTTGAGTATCGCTGTCCTTCCTCTGTCCTGTCCTCTAGAAGTAGGAAGAGAAGCCTCGTCTGTGAACTACACCTTCCCGTTTGGTGGTCTGAGCCCGGGGGAGTCGGTGGAGGTGTCCCTGCCGGTCTCAGCGGAGGGCGACGCCTCCTTCCCCTTCACCGTGACCTGCTCTCTCCTGTTCTCCCTCTGGAGGTTTCTGGGACAGGAGGAGGCGACGGGCCCTCTGGACTCGCAGAGGGCATGTTTCAGTTTGCCGTTAAACACCCTGACAGTGGACTGGCTGCACGCCCTGCGGCTCGACGACCTGCCGGCTCCGGCCCGATCCAGCAGCAACCAGGCTGATCTCCTCCAGGGTTTTATAAGCTCACGGCAGCTCCGGTGCAGAGGAGGAGGCCAGGCGTCCAGACCGGAGGAGTATTCTGCTAGAGTCCGTGTGTCATCAGAGTTACTGAGGGACGCGCTGGGGTTGACCCCTGAGAGCCCCTGCGTCTTTTTGCTTGAGTGGCTGTTGTCTGAAGGCTGTGGTGGAGTGAAGACGGAGCGCAAAGGAATCAAGACTGATGGTAGCAGATCAGTGATCTGTGGCAGAGCACCAAATAACGCCGCAGTCAAACTGACTGCTGAAGAGGTGAACCCTGTACTGGAGAGACCCGGTTACTCCGACAGGCGTTTTCTGGTTTAACCTGAGCGTCCGTCTTCTGGTCTGCAGGTAAACGTGGAGGAGAAGACGGAACCCCAGGGCACCATGGAGGTTCAGGTGAAGAGCTCGTCAGTTGCAGCCGTGTGCGGCCTGCACCACGCCGTGCTGCGTCGCATTCAGGTACACTCCCTACGCTCTTAAACATACCAGTAACCTCAGAGGAGCTTACAGGTTATTCTCAAATTTTGAATCAAAATCTGCCAGTCAGAGTTTTCGAGAACTTGTTAAAGACGACCTTAAGCTTAGCTGTTGTCTCCAACCTTCAGGAGACGACAGGAAGCAGATGAAAGTGTTCCAGCTCGTGCTTAACAAAATCTTATTCTTTATAAACTTTAATACAGTGTTATGTTGAACGTAACTCCAATTTATTTGTGGAAAAATTGCCTGTTCTCACTTTTTCTCATGAAGGATTTAGAGATTAACCAATCGATTGGTTCCAATATCCTTAATTCTGTGTGACTGTTTTAGTATTTTGGATTCCCATCAACCTTTGCTATGACGGTGGCTAATCTTAAAATAACTTATTGAAGATGGAGCTATTGAAGATAGAAACAACCTTTATTGTTTCACAGAGAGGAAATTCAGAAAAAATGAATTTGAACTGATCATCTTTCTGATTGGCTGCCAGTCAAATTCATCAAGCTGGTCCTCAGGCTAGAAATGGAAACGTTTCTGACAAGAAAAGCCACAAGAGCTTTGGAGATTCAATCCAATTTAATGTGATTAGTGTAAAATATTACGTATTTTATGACCACAGGACGGGAGTGGTGGATAAGATATGCAACATCAGATTAATAAAGTCATAATGTTATTCCAATATTTTCAACCACAGAATGCATTGCCAACTAAAATCAGAAGGAACGAGGCAGCATGTATGCTACATGAATGTAGTAATTATGAAACGATGAATAAAATACTTTTTTAGGTGACATGTTAACATAGACAGAAACAATTGAAAAACAAAACAAATTACAGTTTTTTTCCTAAATAAAGTAAAAAAAAATGATGAGATGTGATTTACTTTTATCATTATATTTCTAGAGCATAGCAAAATCTCTAAAAGAAAATGAAGTTAACTTCAGAGTTTCTTTACATATTTTGTTGCACTGTGTGGATTGCAGGGGGGGTCATCAGGTAAAGGCTTGGCATGGACACGTTTAGGAACCTCTGATTGAACCTATTTGCTGTCCTGCATTGTCAAATTTGGACCTTATTTGTGTGTTTGGAACAAACGGCTCTGTTCTCTCACACAGACTCTGCTGCAGAAGGCCGGTTCCTCCAGAACAGTTCCCATTGCAGATTTGCGGCTAGCGCTACAGCAAGCTGAGGTAACGTTAGGCTTTATTCTCAATCCTGTGAGAATTTATAGAACACCAGAGATGTGTATGACTCTGAAACCTGAAATGACCAGAAAGCGACCAATGGCATGGCTCCTCTCTCTCTCTCTCCTGTGCCGTCAGGTGGAGCGAGGTCAGGTCTGGGAGGCCAGCAGTGTGGGCGTGTCCTCTGGGCAGATGCAGACGCTCCTCCTGCGTGTTTACCAGCAGCTCAGAGACGGCCCTCTGCTCATGCTCTGACACCCACTCAGCCGACCTTCGACCCCGCGCTGCCTTCTCCGACCTGAGGATGAGGATGGTGACGAAACTGTCTAATTATCTTCTCATGTTGCAGTTCCTCTCAGACAGCAGAGGATTCGGGGCCTGGTTGTAAAGTTCGGATCACAAAGTATTCCTACCCTTTGAACTGCTTTGACTTTTAGAACCATATATTTTATTGGATTTTAGGTGTCATATCGACACAAAGTGAAGCATAAATCTGGAAGAAAAATGAGAAGCTGATTTCTGTTTTTATTATTATTATTATTATTATTAAGAAAAGACTGAAAAGTGTAGTGTGCCTTTGTATTTTTCTTCCAGTTTTTACACCTAGAGATGGAAACTTTTCTCCTTTTTCTTGCTAAAAAGTCAGATTTCCAAGTCTTGGCAAACTGATTTAAGTCTGGTCTTTGACTAGGCCATTCCAACACCTGAATATGCTTTGATCGTTCCATCTCTGGGTGAATGTCTGGTCGGCATATTGGAAGGTGAACCTCCACCAGTCTCATCTCCTCTGCAGCCTTCAGCAGGTTTTCCTTATCCACTGATTTTATTTAGGGGTGTCAGAGTAAAGGAAGCTGAATCTGAATCCCACAGAGGATTTGGTAAAAATAAAGCATAAAAATCCAAAGCTTATTTTTTCTTCATCTTTACAGTTATGTCATACTTTCTGTTGGGGTTTCATATAAACTGTTTAAGATAAATAAAATAAAAAAAACTGGAAAAAGCTTTGAATGGTTTTGTAAAGCATTCTCGATGAAATACATTTTTATGAACTCCACTTTCAGGGTTTTCAGCACGACTCATTTACAGTCTTCTAGTTTAAATTGTTTTTGCTACATTTTAAAAGTCGGTTGAGTTTTGTGGGACTTTGTGATCAAACTCTCTTCCTTAGTTGTATGTTGTGAAGAGAGACAAAGGAATAAATCCTGTCTAATTTACAAAGTTTTGCGAGCATTTGTAATGGAAATGTGGCCAGTGATGCATTTTAAACTGCAATCATAAAATTGTCCTGGACTTTCTCTAACCAGATCAGAAGTTGAGTGGTATGATAAAGGATGACCACCTCAAATTCTTTTAACTTCACAGTAAAATAAAAGCCTATAAACACATGTGGAATGTTCAGTGAAGGTTATTAATATGACCCAAACCTCAGCCTTATCAAAAATGGATGAACTGGATTTAAAAGCTGGTTCTTTGCCAGGAAGCAAACCGATTTACAGGGGAACTACCATTTCCACTAAGTATTGAGATAAAATATTCAGCTTTCTCCCTGAAGCTTGCAGCTGGATGCAATAAGTGGGCTTTCTCACAGCAGTTTTTTGAAACTTTGAGCTCTTCCATTCATAGATTCTTGTTCTGAAAAAACACTGGAGTTTGTAATGATCACACCAGCCTGAAATACATTACTTAATCCCTAAGTTAGTTTGAGGTTTATTTTGTACCCATGACAAACTTCTTCGTCTGTCGGTGTGCGAATTTAATGGCATTAAGAAGAGAACATTTCCACTTATCACTGAATGCCTTTAATTTCTACAGTTTCAGACATGAAATTTCTGCTTGCATCAGTTATCTACTGGAAAACAATCTAAAAGAAAAACACCAAACTAATGTTTATTCAGGCTAATTTTGAGGCTACAGATGTTGAAAATACTTCTGTTGGCTGATTATACTGCATAGTCTCTTCTCCAGCTGAACACCCATCCCCTTCATCAGCACCAGGGAACTTTAGAGACTTCTCTCCTCAGTGAATCTCCAAGCCTGGCAGAACTGTTGATTCGCCCTAGAACTCCCACAGAGCGGAGCTGCTGAGGCTCAGTCCGTCTCCCTTCAGCGTGCCTCCCTGGTCTCCGCGTAGGTATTTTCCGTTTTTCCCTCTGATGGCGAGGCGGCCGCGCTCCTGGAGCTCCAGGGTGAAATCCTCCGGAGCCTCGCCGTCCGCACACACCAGCCCGCCGCTGTTCACGTACCAGAACCGCCCGTCCACACCTGCAACGGCACAGAGGAACCAGTGAGGGGCAGACCTGCTGCGTGGGAGCTTAAAGGGCCAGTGCCCTGTGTTTTCCAGGCACAGGGTGCCATTTTGTAGAACCGTTGAGAAACAATGTTACCTTCATTTATTATTAAAATGCTAGATGTTTGCTAATTGCTGCCGGCTAGTCTGAAGGAGCTGAGTGGGGGAGATTTGCAACATTCAGTTTTTAAGACTTCCAGAAAACTGCAAAAACAACTGAAACACAGAGTTCCTATAAATGCAGGTTGAAACCACAACCTGTTCAGAGACACTTCTGACTGGCAATAAGTGCGCAAAATTGAATGTTTTTTGCTTGTTCCATAATCAATGAGTAACCTGTCTTTACAAAGTAAAGCACTTTGCACTGCCTTGTTGCTGAATGCGCTATAGTAATAAACTGGACTTGACCTTTAATGTGATAGGCTCCGCTGCTGTACTGCAGGGTGAAGATGTCGTAGACTGATCTGCTGGCGTCCAGCGTGTTGGAGTTCCTGTGGTGGCAGATGAAGCCGTTGTCCCCTCTCAGGATCAGCATGGGCCGGTTGATCAGTTTCAGAGTGAGCTGCTCGTCCTCACCTGGAGGAGAAAAACAAAACAAGTCGGCTCAACGAGGGTTAGAGGAGAGAGAGCCGCAGGAAAGAGAGGAAAGGTCACCTATGGAGTCACTGACTGCCAGTAACTGGCCATTCTTCTTGGTGCAGATGTATTTGCCGTTGCTCGCTTTTATCGCCACCTTGTGGCTGAGCCATTCCACTGAAAACATGGTGTTTGCAGATCTGTGGGCAAAAAGAAATGCCTCTAATTATTTCTCATAGTAAAAAAAGTTATATATGACAACATATTAGGGTCACTATAGACTGAGAAAAAGGAGGCTGCTAGAAAAACTCAGAAACGGTGGGATTAATCACAGAAATGTAATGGGGGGTTGGGGCGGAAGGACATTTCTGAGCTCCACAAGTTTTTACTAGAAAATTTTTGCGATTAATCTAAAAATATCGGTGTTTTTTTTTTCTCCCAAAGTTCACACTTATTTCCCCTCAAGATTTCTGATGTACCGAAATTCACGGTGGAAATTCACTAATATGACCGATGCTTTCATAATGAGTGATTCATTATCAATCATTGCATAAGGTAAAAATAATTCCCCAACATAAGAAATAATAATTCATTGCTCAGAAACCATGCAGTGTTTCCCGCCCTCTCTCACACCTCTAGTAATAGTGTCCTAAAAAACCTACGCGGGTTGCGTCATTTGAACGCCTCACGCCGCCGTTCACTCACACTTGTGTGGCGGTGCTCTGGACGCCGCCGTGAGCCACCAGGGCCCAGTAGAACCCTTGGCTGGTCCGGAAGGTGCACATCTTGGTCTCCCTGTCGATCTCCATCTGAAACGTCTCCGTGTCAGTTTCGTCTTCTTGCTTAGCGGCGAGGCTAACTCCTGGGAGGGAAGACGCGTGACGCAGTTAACTCTATCAGGAAATGGGGGAAAGTTGTGCAGGTGCAAAGTATTTATTAGCATCTGAAAACAGATGCTAATAAATCTGTTTATGTTTTATAAACAGAGACAGATAGTTCGGTACAACTTCTGTTTTTCAACATGTCCCTTGAATACAAAATGGAGAGAAATGCCTTATTGGTACCATCAGTAGTTAGCAACATAACAATTAGCAAAAAGAAGCTATCTTATAACTTAAAACCTCCAAGTACTCATCTCAGGTGCTCTACTTTCCAAAATCCAACTCACAATTCAATGAAGAGAGACTCATTCACTTCTCATTGTCTACAACCCAAATTCAGCTTTTATTTATAGCTTTATTTGATTGATTGATTTTTGTCTTTTTGGAATGAGCTTGGGGATTTTAACCCCACAGAAAACCTGTCGTTGATGTTCTTGAACTTTACAAGAGTCACATTTTAAACAAACAAGCTCATATATAAACAGAAACTCCAAATATGCTAGCTTAGCTCTGGTTGGACAGAAGCAACCGAAAAGGGGTCATGCTCTCTGAGGTCATGCTCTCTGAGGTCATGCTCTCTGAGGTCATGCTCTCTGAGGTCATGCTCTCTGAGGTCATCCAAAGTTGCAACTGGGAATAAGGATTATAGAAATGTGCAAAAGGTGTTCAGGGAAAGAATTATGAGAAAATAATAACTTTACAGAAACAAACACAACGAGTCCGGCTTTAGGTTTTGGACTGAACCTCAGGTCTGAAGCAGAACAGAACCTAAGCGGGTCGGTACTTTCAGTTTCAGAATCAATTGTGAAGAAAAAAGATTAGTTACTTCTGAGGTAATATTAAAAACCTGGAAAGTAAATACAATAAAAGAGTCAATGCAGGAAAAACAAGCCTGATTTAATGCAGGTTTCTTGTTAGTGCGTAGCAGCAATTGCAAACAGCGGTCCCTCCGTCGTTTACACCTGACAAAAAGTCACACCTTAGAAATATTTTTCAGCAAATCTCTTGGAACGCAATTATTTTTTGCCTTTCCGTTGCTTATGCATCGAAGATAAACACAGATGTTTCCGACAAACAAACGCTGACACTTCCATCCATGGTGTGACATCCTGGTGAGGGAGGAAACATGAAGCTTTACGATCAAACCTGCTCTTCTCCCAGCTCTAACGGTTACACTTTAACATTTCAAACTGCGTTTCACATGTTTTTCTGTTTTCGCCGTAAAGATAACCAACGTCTCAAACAGGTTGTTGCTTCGGTTGGGATAAACGCTTGCCGCACCACCAGATTGCAGAGGGCCAAATCCTTAATTAGATGCATCTCAAAATATCCCCCAAACATTTTCTTAATCCTTTAACAACGTTAATCTCCGTGCCTCTTATCTCTTCCTGTTCTTGTTAGCCGTACCTGTTCCCTTCCCCTCCCCCATCGTCTCCCTCCATACCCCTGGCACCCTAAAGCCCTGTCCTGAACCATTACCCCGCCCGGAGCTCCGGCTGTCTGCTTCCTTCACAGCGGGGCTCAGATATAATCAGCTTTAGAGCAGTCCCCGCTCCTTCCTTTTCAAACAAAATAAAAAAAAAAGGAATAAAGACAAAAACAGAAAATGAGTGGTGGATTGCATGGACCAAACGTAGCAACCAATCCTAAACCATACAGCAATAAAACTACAGCTGATCAAATATTAAGGAGATGATGTCACACACATAAAAAAATAATAATTTGCAGTCAGTTGCTTGAGCTTACCTTCAAAAGAATTTGAAGTTAGGAAAAGTTTAAATTCTTTATTTCTAGAACAGTTTAAAACCAGCAGGAGCTCCACCAAAGTGCTGCACAGCAGTGGTCAGCTCAACCCCGAGGATTAGGAAACAATACAAGATTAATTCAAAACCGAGCCACAAAATATCATGAAATCATGGAAACACAATGATACTGAAGATAGAAAAAGGCAACATGAAATCAGAATAAAAGCATAATCAAAAATCGGAAATTTGAAAATTATTCAAACTTGAAAACACTTTTGATGGAAGAAAAACTTTAATGAATTTAAACAGTTGTGAAATTGCCACATCTCGTCAGTGAACACTGACTGCATAAGAGCCTTTGCTTTGGATGGCCTTTGTCTGTGAACGCTATAAATCTTCAATATCGGAAACCAGTCTTCATTTAGAGAGCAATAAAAACAACTAATGAGCTTAACATGCTGACTATGAGAAAAAGTCCCTCGCTGCAGTGATTATCCAACACAATGTTGTTATATAGCAGAATGTAATGAAAACATCTGGGTTGGAACTGTTTCTTTTCTAAATTCCAGCAGCAGCTAGCTGTGCTTTGATGATCTATTCAGCTTGTTTGTATTAAAATAACATAAAATAAAATAAAAATTTAAATTTTTTTCAGACTAATGCTTGACATTTTCCCCCTTCGCTACCAGAGTTACCACATTCTGTGACATCACTTTCCCCTGTTCCAAGGCTATAGAGTTCACCTCATCAAGGTCCTGTGGGCGTAACAATCCCCTGTAAACAGACACTTCACTTTTCTTGTCAGCTACATCTCCGAGATAAACGAGGTCCGAGTCTCTGAGGTGAACTTCCAGGAAAACCTGCTGGGTGAAACTTCTCTTCTTGATTATGGAATCCCTGATACTTACCCTACCAGTCACTCCTCAATCTGTCTTTCTAACAAAGTTTTACCAGAAAGCCGTTCCAAAGAGCCAGCTTGCATATTGTAAGATTTTGTCAAAACTGGTTTAGCCTTTCCTACTTTGTGCTTTGCTTTACTTTCTACTATATACATTATAAATCTGTTGTATTGCAGTAGGCTGAAATACAACTGGCTGAAATGGGAATTAAAACCAAAACAAATGTGAAACATGACTGTAATATGTGGATAATCAACTGAATTAACTTCTGTCATCAGTTTTATGTTTTAGACATCATCATAATATTTTTGTATGTCAAAAAGTGACAAGTACATTTGACATTTGAAACAATAACTCATGAAAGTTTGATAGTACTACTGTTCTGATTTGTCGTAGCAGCTAGCTGTGCTGTAAAATTTAAAAAATACGCAACAATAACTCTGCACTGTGCTTTCAGAATTCATTCTTAAAAGGGCAGTATTATGTAAAATCCACTTTTTTGAGGCTAAGATGATGTTATAATGTTATACCATAAATAAACACTGGAGTGTTGCCTTGATCCTTTTCTAGCATGTTTGAGAAATTCTTTAATCTCCAGGCAACCATTCAACTTTGCAAAATGCTTTGGTGGGCGTAGCGTTGTCTTCAGACATTTTGTCCTCTGAGCTGCAGTTTCTGAGTTTCCACCTCATAGAACACAGAACACCCCTTCCCCACTCAGCTCCTTCAGACTAGCCAGCAATTAGCATTATGAAAGCTACTTGTCAGTCAAACGTTGGTAAAAACATTGTGAAAGGGTTAATAGAGAAGCCATGTTGTGACGACTTCCCAAAGGCAGAGTTTCAGAAAGAGCAGGAGATTTTAAAGAGACAGAGGCCCAATTTTAAGGTGTTAAAAATGAAAGTAAATTTTCTTTTAAGCCATATTTAGTTTACATAGCATTTTTAAAACAACTGAAGGTAACATAGCTACTTGATTGTGTTATAAATTGGCACTATATGACTGAAAAACACTTAATACTGTCCCTTTAAATTGTCTTGCATCTCTAGGTTGGGAGTTCTTGCAGTTTGTTCTTGACACTTGATCAGAACTCGTTCCCTATTTGGTGTGCAGCCATTATTACACAAACCGTGCAGTAGGGCTGACCTGTGAGGATTTCCCAATAGTTCCTGTGAAGTGTGGAATGTCCTGGCCAGTGAGAATTGTGTTCTTGTTCTTGTCCCTATTGTTCCAGATTAGCCTCTCGCTTGTTTTTAATCAAACAACATGGCAGAGCTGTTTGATTATTATTAAACCCAAATGAGTAAAAGCAATATTCTAAATCCCGGTGAGCTGAAGAGCACTTTAACAGGTGAAAGGAAAAGTCTGACTTCTTTCAAGCGAAATATAAAGACAAAAGAGCTGCAGACGACTTTTGTCAGTATGAAATCTCTAAACTAGGTGCTCAGCCTTCAGCGGCTCGTTCGTGACAGTGTTAATCCAATTTGTTTGAAATATTCTTTTGGGGCATTTGAAAAGCGACCGCGGAGATAAACCGGCGAGGAGAGGGTATGATACGCGACAGAGATGTCACGCTCACTGAGCTGCTGGGATGGTTTAATCACAGCTTATTCACACTTGATAAACTAGGTATCATTAGGTTGTACAGCTGGTTAAATTATCATTGATCTTAAGTGCATCTGAAGCATAAATTTAAGCTCTTCCACTCCGTAGCGACGCCTGGGGGCCTATCACTCCCATTCTCTCTCATCCCAGCTCAATGTCATGCTTAGTCTACCTATTCCGTGTGTCTATTTCACACTAATTCAACCCAGAAATGATCTTCAGACAGAGCTCAGCTGGGACCTTATAGTTGCTGTCTGACAGATGAGACAAGAGCCGACAGTGGAAGGAAAGGTGGAGGAAGAAGGAAGAAGAAAGCCAGAAAAAGGGGGAAGGGAGATTGGATGTGCTCTAATCCGAGCTGGCATGATTATTTATTGACGGTCTTGTTGATGAGCATCTCTGACACACTTGATGGTCAAGAAAAAGCAAAGTAGGAGAGAAATAAATGGATCAGTGCACTCCTGAATCACACACAAGTTCTAGTATCTTATTTCTGATCGAAGCCTAGATCTAGCTCCCCTTCCTCAGGTTGTCCTACCTACAAGTCTGGAAGTGGGGCAGACCTAACTAATCCATCAACGATAGTCGGCTCTGACATCAATTATTAATAGTAAGCCGATGCCACTATCCCTGCATCCCTTATTATCCATGAGCTCCCAGCTTTTCATCCATCACGACTACACTTTCCTTTGTTTATTTTTGTACTTTTTCCAACACATTTTGTCCGAGGCTTTGTGCATGGATGGAGAAAGTCTGTCGTTTTGGAAAATACAGAGCTTGTTTCTTGGCTTCAGTAATTTTTACATTGACTCTTGTGAAAAATTTTAGCAGGAAAGTTGTGACTGGCCAATGAAAAATCATGAGACTAAACGTTGCAAACACTGCATACAATCTTTTATACTTGTATACTATAGTATGTCACGTTCACAAAAATATGATGTTATGTATTTGCTAAAACTGCCACCATGTATGAGACAGTTAATCTGTTAACAGATCGATCTCCTCCACCTTGTCACTGAGCTACTATCGCCATCTGAAGAAATGCTTCACTCCCAACAAAAAACAACCAACAAGAGCCAAGAGAAGGCTATATAATTTATTTACAATTTCTGTTTTACTCATTAATTAAAGCACAAAAGTTTCATAATCTATCCAGGGTGCATGCTGCAAAATTAAAAATGTCCAAATCCAGAAACATATTTTCAATCAACTTTTATGGATTTACCAATGTTTTTAAAAGTAATTTCTGTTGTGGTGTGAACCTCTTCCAACCACAGCTAAGATGTGTGATTCATTGGCAACTTCTGTCTCAGTTAAAGTAGCAGTATGTGTTTTCCAGTCACATCGTGCCATTTTGTAGCACAATCAAGTAGCTATGTTATCTTCAATTGTTATAAAAATGCAATATTTATCAAATATGACTTATAAGAAATTTGACTTTGTAACTTAGAGCCTTGAAAATTGACCTCTGTCCCTTTAAAAACTCCTTTCTTGAAACTCCACCTTCAGGAAGTTATCACAAGATGGCTCCTTTCTTAACCCTCTTACAATGTTTTTACCAACGCTCTTACAAAGATCTCAGCAGGTGTACAGTTCCATAAGATGTTTGTTAATTGCTGCTGGCTAGTCTGAAGGAGCTGAATGGAGGACTGCTGCTCTGTGAGGCGGAAGCTCAGAAGCTGCAGCTCCTTCTTGGAGTTGCGTCTCGAAGGGGGAGCTACGGCTTGAAGGTGGTGCTCCGTCCACCCAGGTGTTTTATACAGCTGGGAAATTGAAGAATTTCTCAAACATTCATGGAATAATCAAGGTAACATTCCAAGTATGTTTTTGATGAAGGCATAACATTATATTATCTTTTAAAGTTCAGAAAAGCTGATTTTATGCAGTACTGCCTCTTTAAGAAGCAAACATTAGTGTTAGCTTTGCCGCTAAACTAGCTAAAGCTGGATACAAACCTCTTGGACTAACACAGGAATTTTGACCATAACTTGGACTAAATGTGTATCATGCACTGCCCTCCAAATGCGTATAATGTGTATAAATCACATTAAACACATTTAGTTCTTAATATATAATAAAATCCACATAAGCCCATCAGCCTTACTGTTTGCAGGTTAGATTAGCGGGTTAAAGCCGGACTCATGGGGTGGAAGCTTTGGCTGCGGGTAAGAGGCAGCTTGGGTTTCTGAAAGCAGATTCCCCTCCCACCCCCCACCTCCCCTTGCCCTCCAGGAACAGGGGCCAACTTCATCCATAATTCAAAACAACTCACCACTCGTCTCAGCAGGATAGCATGATTGTGAGTGGGCGAGTGCTGCAGAAAAAAATATGAGGCTTTTGTTTGTGCATAGAGTGCTAAAAGAGTAAAAAAAAAACAAACAAAAAAACAGGATGAGGAGCAGCATGTAGTTAAAAATAATCAGCATGCATAAATGTACATAGCCCAAATGTTTGTTTTATATGAAACCAAATGGTAATCAGTTTACAGTACTTCCAGCAATTTAGGTCTTGCTCGGAGCGGACATTGCTAACCAGGAACAATGAGTAAGGAGATAGTCGGTTACAACATCCAGGGTTGTAGCAACTTGAGCCTGCAGACTAGAATCTGCCTGGTGATGGCTGACATGATCTAATGTGCTGACAACCGCCATTGGTCTATGCTAATCTACCTCCAAATCCATTCTGAAATCAGACCAATGGACCCTTTGACCATGGCGACTGAAACTCTATGCAAGTCACTCTGTGGCAACTCAACTAGATGAAACGTGACACTCTAATTTAGAACTGCTCTGGTTTTTACACTGATCAAAGAAATTCAACCTTGGTTTTGAGAGGAAACTACTTTGGGGTCAATGAGGAGTCCATCAGCACAATGAGGTGATGTCATGCCTAACACAGAGATCAAATAACACCTGAAGTTCCCATATCACAAGACTGAAGAGTAAAGACATAATTCAATAACAACACAGGCACAGGCAGCTGCATCACTGAGAGCATAGAGCTCAATGAGCCGGGACAAACACAAAATTTATTTTAAGCATATGATATAGCAGAGATGTAAAACAATTAACATATGTATTTATTATGTTGAGGCCATTTTATGACAAAATCTCAGTTGCTTAAATTACAAATGAACTGTAATTAATTTGATTAAAAGATAATCTTTCACAGATTATCTGTCTCGACCATGGTGTCTCGACATAGTGACAGTTTTAACAAATATGTAAAAAAGAAAACCACTGCACCCCAACACAAGAATCAGTGTTGACCAAAAGGAATTTGGTCAACACTAATCCATCACAGATTAGCCACAAAACATCTTGATAATGTCCAAGAGTTTTGGGACAATTTTCAGTGGACTGCCAAGACAAAATGGAAATGCGTTGTAAGGTATGAATTTCCTACATCTGGCATAAAACTAACAAAGTATGTCAGAGAAAGAACATCACACTAACAGCCAAACAAGGTGGTGGTGGTAGTGTGATGGTATTAGGCTGAGTTGCTGCTTCACAATCTAGACAACTTGTTATAATTCATGGAGCCATAAATTTTGCTTGTTACAATGAAATCTTGAAGGAGAAAGTTCCCCCATCCTTAATTTAAAGAGTTGCTTGTCAAGTTGCTCATCAATATTTAAGTGAAAAATTTGGATTGACATCAGCAAAGCCTGGACTTAACTTGAACAGAGATGCTGAGGTGTGAACTTGAAAAGATGAGTCATGCTGGAAAACCCGTCAATATCATTGAAATAAAAGAGTTGTGCAAACATCATCCATATGGACTCCTTCTCAGTTAATGCCAGTGTTGGTTGGGAGTTGGTGAAGCCAGTGGGCTTGGGGTGATTACTTTGTCTCATATACAAAGTCCCATTCCAAAATCCACTGTTGCCCTCTGGGGCTTTTCATGAGGCCCACACTCACAAAGTGAATCAGTCTTCTCTGTTTTATTTTAATGGACAGATGCATCTGTTCACTGTAACTTATGCACGATAAGCGCAAAGTGCATTATGCACCCCTTACCAATCATCAGTTTCTGCTTCATTATGAATGTAAGCAGGTCAGCATGTGTCAGCAAAGGCTTGTGTGACCATCAGCAATAACACTGAAGGTCAGTCTTTGTTCATTCAATCAGCTTGTTGGGAGTCTGTGCAATGTTTTTGGAAGACAAGCAAGATGACTTTGGAGCAGAAATTCAATGACTCTTAGGATTTTAGAGAGGAAACTATTTTAAAGATGGATCTGTGTTTTCTTACCTTGTCTGTTGGAGACATAACGGCCATTAGCTGCTATCAAAACCACTTGAGGGTGGCTCTCCTCCAAGTCAAACAGTTCATCTTTGCCTGGCTTGGAGCATCGTCCTGACCTCAGGGTCCCTGTGGGGCCCATGGGAGACAAATACTTTCCCTCACAGTCTTTAAAGGCAAGCTTCCCACACTTCAGCTCCAGTGTGTATGCTGTGGCCCTCCCATTCTCTGTCAGCAGCTTCCCATCGCTGCTCAGGAAGCGGCTGTCGCAGGTCTTTAAGCAGTACTTTCCATCCAGGTAGACGAGAGTCAGGAGTGCCTCAACACCCCATGGAATGTTCCTGTCCACGGCGATTTCTCCGTCCTCCGTGGAGAGGTGGGCATAGCGCTTACGGGCGACAGACAGCAGGTTAGCTTGCGGATGCAGAGCCAGGTGCATTGCCCAAAGCTCGGCATCTGTGATTATCTGAGCGAAGCAAGACAGGTAGTCCCGAGAGCCACCGAAGAAGCGGAGGTATTGCTCAGACTGGAGGGCCCAGCGGCCGTCTGACTGCGGTACGATGAGGAAGCGGCAGTCGGAGTTATGGCCATCTGCCTCACAGGTGACTTTACCATCCTTGTCAGAAGCCAAGTAGCGTCCCAGATGACTACGTAAATACACAACTTGGGTCTCCTGGGAGTCTTGCTCTAGAGTCCATATCTGTTTCTTCTTTAGACTTGGAGCTGACGCATTCAGCTGAGAAACAAAAAAGGTGTCCTTTTAATACATTATGTCTAAGGTTGACTACCACCAAAACAGTTTCATTAGCTTGCATTGTTTACCTTGAAACCAAAGTTTTCTGCAGTGAGGTAACGACCCTCGTGATTGATAAGACCAAACTGTAACTTCAAGGGATGGTTTCCGTTAGCAGGCATCTTCACCTTTGGGTATGTTAAGTCCAGAGAGTAAGGAAGGACACGTGACAAGAGTTGGGAGTGAGAAATAAGAAATTAAAATCTGGAGACAGGAGATACAGAAGAAATAGTTTGATTAGACTAAAGAAAGAGGAGAGGTTTTTAAGCTGTGAAGAATAGAGAAGCATCAAATTGAATGGTGAAATGCAAACGCTGTAAAAGCAGGAAATCAATTCATTAAGGTGCAGTACATAAAGCACTCCGAAAACCACAAATTCTTTCCCCCGCCCAGGACTTCATTATACATTTTTCCAGCCGCAGCCTCCTAATTTACTTACTGCGGTTTTGTGGCTTCCCCTCTGCAGTTCCTGCGGCTCCAATTCCAGCTCCCAGATTTAAAAGGCTTCTTTCGTCAGGCTCCCTCTTGTAATTCCTTCTCCTTTTTCTTCTTTTCTTGCTGGCTTGTACTTTCTGCTGATCGGGTCTCCGAACTCAGCTCCTCCACCACTCCTGTTCTCCCTAATCAGGTTAGAGGCAGCAGAGACTTGAGTCAGCCTTGATCTCTCTTCTGTCCAGTGTCAGCCCCTCTTTCTCTGTGGACTAATTTTGCTCTGGACTGCTTAGCTCGCCTTGTGAAGCCTATATCCCTTTTTCCCTCGTCTCTCCAGCTGAACAGCTTCACCCCTGTTCTTGCATGACTTGTTATTTACCCCGAAGGCTCAATCATATGGTTCTCCAAGACTTGACTTCTCTTGGGTGTTGTCTGTTTCCCCCTTTGGGTTCTTTGCCTATGGATCAATCATATCAACTGGCTTTACACTTTGCTTTACGTTTCTGTGGAGTTCAGATTTCTAGATTGTGAAAAGCAAGTTTAAGCAGGGATGGAGAACATCCTCAGAGGCCCTAGAAAACTGGAGGACCGCTTCAATCGTCTAAAAGCATAATCTGTCTATCACAACTCAAGCCAGCTATGAACGATGCTCTTCTTTGTAATCTTAAGCCGCTCCCTTACGATTTTTCTTCCCATCCTCTTCTTTTCCCTCTCTGCCTTTCTCAAACCTGCAAGGTATCTAATACTGCCTTTCTCTTTTTCTTCACCTCATTTGGAGCTCTGCTCTTCACCTCTTTCTCCTGCACATAAATAGAAGTGAGTAGAGACAATGCTCATGTATGCTCCCACAGCGCCGGGTAACCAGAGCACTCCATCTGCCTTTGGGGTACTTGCCTGACTGCGGCTCCCCTTACCTGCCTGTGCTGGGTTTGGTTACACTGTCTCTGATTGCAAGTTCTCTCCATTCTAATGGGAAGTGTGTCTGAGATGAAGGGGGAGGCAGACTTTACATCTAAATTTAGGAAAGGAGATGCTGGGTACAAGGCAACGACCTAATGATCATGCAAGGTTTTGAATGTGAGTGCTTGCTTCTGTGTGCTGTGTGTAATCAGCCTTGCCAATCAGCCTATTATAGGTCGCCTTTGAGGAGTAAACAGACGTGTCTGTTCCTGAATCCATCTAATCCTCAACCCAATCATCCCAACCTGGCTAATCTACTGCCAACCCTCAAACACACACACAACCCGCCACTCCACACACACACTCCCGCGCATCAGACATGATGACATTTACTCTGCTTGTTAGTGGAAATGAACGTATACATAGACTCACTGACACAGGATAATGTAGATGTCATCACCAAGAAGAGAGATGGGGCTTTGCGTGGCGCAGTGGGTACAGCGGCTGCCCCGTAGAAGTGATAGTCCTCGTAGCGGCTGTTCCAGGTTCGATTCCCAACCTCACTACCCTTAGCGCATGTCTTCCACTTCCTGCCTCTTTCTTGTGCAACTATTGTTAGAAAATGGAAAATGGGCACTAGTCCCAGCCTCACACAACACGACAGACGACAAAGGTTTGCTCCTGAAGAATGAGGACTAAACTGGTGCATAAACTAGAATGGACAATGCACACTAATGGTGACAATGTAACTCAAACACTTACTAATAATCACCTTCATAAAATGAAGGTGATTATTTTGATGGTGTTTTTCTTTTTTTTTTGGCCTGTCACATCTTTTTGAAAAAAAAAATGGTGGTGACTCAAGACTCAAGCTATTATTTTAGGAAGGTGACAAAATGTTATAGCTATCCACCCTGCATATGATGGCAAAATTATTCCATTTAATAAATGTTAATAGCTTAGGTTTCCATGCCTTGGGATTCTGAATATGAGCAGGAATGATGTGTGATTTGAGGTTAGAGTCTCCAAAAGCTTTCGTTGACTCAAAGGTTAAGAGGTTTCTCCCTAGCTAATTTAGTTATTTTTCAAGTCATTGGATGGATCTGAACACTTAAACATAGTAACAAAGTTACTGAGTTGACAGTACTGACTAATAAAGACTTGGTCACAAAGTTAATATAGACAGGCCATATCTTTTACAGTTTTATATGGTGAGTGTGGGATTTGCTTTCTAAATTCAGTTACTTGCCGAAATTTATTATTTAAAGATTGTTGCTGGCACTGTTAGCTGTGGCTATAAACCTGGGTCCAGGGTTTGAATTTAACTAGGCCCTAGTTAAATTCAAATACAATTCTTGTTTGAAAAACAAGAATTGTATGTATAGATTTGTGGACTAGTTCTCTCTCACTAGTCCACAATAAAAAATGACACACAATAAAAAAGACTAATCATGCAGATTATGTTAATAAATTCTAAATTGTGTGTTTGTGTTGCAGTATGTCCTGGGAAACAATTGGAGTCTGTCATTGTAGAAAATGAATAATTCATTACGAAAAATTTACTTATCTAGTTACCATGTAATATGAGTTTTTTTCAACTGACTTTAAGACAGTTTTACTGTCAAATATTACTTGTATCAATCAAGTTTTTGAGGTGAAAACACCATCCAGTAGTTTAGCTCAAACTTATAACCAGCCCTAATGTGTAAAATCAACCCATGGCTCGCTCAGCAAAGTAACTTAGTTTTTGGGTGGCTTGAGTGTAAATTAAGACAAAGAGAAGGATCATCAAGTGAGCAGATTAGAAAGGCATGTTTGTAGCACCCAACAATACAAATACTGCAGTATATTTCATCCAAATAAACTTTGTTATCTGTTCTGTCAAATTCTCACAAAAGTGTGGTGGGACCACTTTTCCAGATATCTGAGTTAGCTAGCTATGCTGCAACGCTTACATTAGCCTGCATGTAAACAGGAGCAGTAACAGGACATTCTATATTTGTTTTCTCCAGAGCAATAGCTAATATGTTTTCAGCCTTGGACAGTACAACTTTCTTTGCTGTTACATATGTCAAATTCAGCCGCTATGCTAATGTCATAGCATTAGCCCTGACACACTGGAAACAAAAGTTACCGTAACTATTACTTCCAGAAAACACACACGGTGCTTTGATGAGAGGGCGGTTTATTTTAGAACATTTAAAAAGCTAACATAATTTATTTCTCTTTATGTTTGGGCTACAGGTAATGTGGGCTAAGTGAACATAACTAGTAGCATCACCTAGCTAGTCAAGTTAAGTAAGCTTTTGTTATTCCCAAGGGGCAAGTTTGTTGTGCAGATAGCAGTGAAATCAATCAATCAATCAATCAAATTTTATTTGTATAGCACATTTCAGCTACAAGGCATTTCAAAGTGCTTTACATCGTAAACACAAAACACAAAGGCATGCAACATAGAATAAAATACCAAGGTTTTTTTTTTTTTCCCCCTCTTTCTTCCCTTTCTTCCCCCTTCCCTTTGACATGGAATTTAAGCGCCTGTTACCGCCGGACTCCGCCGTCCGTTTAACCACGGGTATTCGCCGGGCCCCGTTGCCCACAACAGGAAAAAAAAAAAACAAAAAAAAAAAAACATACATATCCACAAAATCAAATCCATACATATTACATTTCAAATACAACTCTAAACAGGTGCGTTTTTACTTGAGATTTAAAGGAAGTCAGGGTTTCTACTGTTTTACAGTTTTCTGGAAGTTTGTTCCAAATTTGTGGTGCATAGATGCTGAAAGCTGCTTCTCCTCTTTTGGTTCTGGTTCTGGGGATGCAGAGCAGACCAGAACCAGAAGACCTGAGAGGTCTGGAAGGTTGATACAACAACAGCAGATCTTTGATGTATTGTGGAGCTAAACCGTTCAGTGATTTGTAAACTAACAACAGTATTTTAAAGTCTATTCGTTGAACTACAAGGAGCTAGTGGAGGGACTTTAAAACTGGTGTTATGTGCTCTATTTTCCTGGTTTTAGTGAGAACGCGAGCAACAGCATTCTGGATCAGTTGCAGCTGTTTGATTGATTTGTTTTTTTCACAGGCCTGTGAAGATGCTGTTGCAATAATCAATGCGACTAAAGACAAACGCATGAATGAGTTTCTCTAGATCTGGCTGAGACATTAGTCCTCTAATCCTGGAGATGTTCTTCAGGTGATAGAAGGCTGATTTTGTTACTGTCTTTATGTGGCTCTGGATGTTCAAGTCCGAGTCCATCACTACTCCCAGGTTTGGGGCCTGATCACTAGTTTTTAGTTGTAATAACTGAAGCTGTGCATTGACTCTAGATCGTTCCTCTTTAGGTCCAAAAATAATGACTTCAGTTTTATTTTTGTTCAGTTGGAGAAAGTTTTGGCACATCCACACATACAAAAACCCACAAAAATATATACAAAAAATAGATGAGTACATATTAGTCTTTAAAATGTGGACTTGGAATTGACCTGGATTATAGCAACTGGAATAAGATATGTTTCCATTTTACAAAATGGCATTTTGTATCACAGAAGTAAAAGTTTACTTCTGAGACTCAACATTTCTACAACTTTATAGCCAGAAAGTTCTATTCTTTATTTGTGACTTGCCACATTTCATTCACAAAAACAACAATTTTACCAATTTAAAAGTCTGAAAATGCTGCTGGAAGACTTGAGCACTAATCATGTCCATAAAGTAGGAAAGTAAAGCATAAAATTGAATAAAAAATGAATAACTTAACCACAAGCCCTGATATTACAAAAATACAAAAATCAGAATAAGTAATAATGTTAAATTTATACACTAACATCAGTGAGATGAAAATGATTGTAACTGTGAAGATGCAGGGCGATAAAACAGCTGGGTTCAAATTAGTTTTGTTGAAATTTATTAGCGCTAAATAGAAAACAGGAGAAAAAAATGGAACATTAAATCCAGTTGGATCCAGCAGGATTATGAAGCTTACAGTTTTGGACGAGAAAACTGAGAAGTATGAAAATTTATGATATAGAAATTCAAAGGGAAATCTTGCTTTCACCTTTCCGAGGCTGGAGGGGATATAAAATATGGTTACAGTTTGAAATTGGTTAGACCTTCAGAAAAAGTAATTATTAATCGTGCCGGTGAGAATTTTACACCCACTCATCAACCATAACAACATTGCTTTTTGGCTTTCAGTTTTTTTAACCTCAGTTCATTTTAAGTAATTTGAAAAACATGAATTGTATGTATAGATTTGATTGTGGGTTTTTGTGTTCCTGGCCAGATGGTGTAAATATTAGATGTAAAGGTTCAAATATAGATCAACGCCCCAAATATTAGGTTGAATGTGCCTTACATAGTTATATGGAAACATATTTTTGTGACCATTTAAAACATCTCGCATGCCTCTGCCTGGATGTTTACTTCTTGTAACGGTAAATTAGTCAACTTCCTGACACAAACACTGCTTTTAACACAGAGTCCACAAATGATCAATAATGTTAAATTCCAGAAACTTAATGGTTGCTGTCTTTATTCTTTCCAAACCCGGTTTTGGTGTGTGTTTGTCCCGCTGGAACATCAAACTGTGTCTTGGTTTTAAGCTCCTTATCTTTTGAACTGAAATAAAACTGAAGAACATGGAGGGAGTCATCCTCCTTCATCTCTCCATCCGTCCATCCAGTGGCACAAAAAGTAGGAACATGCTGTATGTGATGCATAGAGGCACTACTATGCATCGCATGGTTAAATAATTATTTCTACTGGCCTTTTCCATATTTAACAGCTGTTTGCGCATTGAAAACAACTGGGGGAGTGTCAGCATACACCTCAAAAAGAACTTAACTGTTCTTCAATGTCTGTC